CAAAATTGGACGTGCGGATTCAGACGAATGTAGAGCATGTGGAGAGGACAGTGAAACTCTGGAGCACTTTCTTTGCCACTGCCAGGCAATCGTCGAAGTTAGATCCAAGTATCTTGGAAGTGATGTTATTCCGGAAATAACATTCCTGACTAACACTGATTGGAAGATTCTTAGGAATTACGTTCAGGAAACTGAGTTTCTGAACACTGAAAAATAATTCTTTCGGTTTTTTTTTCATGATAAGGAGCGCACAACAGGCCCGATAGTGCCCTAGGTGTATTTCTTCGGATTTGATGTAGTATATGTACATCCTTCTATCGACCTATCTACCTACCTACCATTATGGACCGGAACTTTCGATTCCGTTCTCTTTACATGAAGCTAAATTCACTAAAATTTTAAAAAAAGTATTAATGAATACATTCGTTTTATTAACATTCAGGTTCATAAATTTCATATTTTAGATATTGTGTTGATTGATAACATTTTTTTTCGAACTACATATCATTATTCTTCGATAAGAAATTACAATAGAAATAACAATAAATAATTGCATGTGAATTCATTTAATTAGCAGAGTAATAACCCATTTTTTAAAAAAAATTTTATTAACGTAGACAAACATGTGATATTGTTTTAATGAATCAGTTTAATGGCGATAATATTAATTTCGTCAGTTATATAAAGAAGTGTGTATATTGCTTATCAAAAATACACATTTATTGTATTATTATTTTCATATAAGTAAATATAAATAATTATAATTGGTCTCAACTAGCGCCAACTCAAAGTGATTATAAAATATTTATTAAGTTGATATATTTAAAAGGAGTGTTTGTTTGACACAACACAAACATTATTTAAATTTTTATTTGATTCAGTCGATTTTGTTTAATATTTTTTTACTAAATAATAAAATTTCTTTTCATTTCACTGCAATCTATTTTGTTTTCTTTTTTGGTTAAATATCATTTGGAAATATTTTAATCGAATATCTGTTGATAGTGCTGTATCAAAAGTCGGTCAAGATAAGTGTGTCCATCTGTTAAAAACATTTAATCGGGTATATTTTTATATCCACCATCAAAAACGATAGTGTCATTCCGTGTGTAACACATCGAAATACTGTTCAGTGACCTCATAAAGTATGTATATATATTCTGGGTCCTCGTAATATTCTAAGACGATCTAGCTATGTCTGTACGTCCGCCTGTAGTTGGCGTCCACAAAAATAGAGATAGGGACTTGAAATGTTCCCAAATATTCATTAGGTATTGATCAGAAAATGTTGGTATGGAAAATTGGCAAAATTGGACAACAATTTTACATAGCCCCCATGCAAATGTGAACCAAAAACAAGTCTTGTACGACCCCAAAACTCTTTACTACCCGTACCCCCATAAAAGGTCTCCATCAGAAAACAAGTAAGAAAGTATAGTCGGGCTTGGCCGACCATATGATACCCTACACCAGTTATGAATATTAACTATGATTTATTTTTCATAATAAAGCATTTATCTTGAATATTACCTTGATTCCGATTTATTTAAGCAATTTATTGACGAAAAACTTATTTTCTAAAAGAGGCTTTATATGGGGGATAGGAGCAAATGTGGGCCGATCCCTATAAAATGGTCTGGATAGATTTGTATTTATATAATATTTGTCTGTGCTAAATTTCATTGCAATATCACTGCTAATAAATGAATTGCGGATATTCAAGTCACTTTCAGAGGTGGGCTTTGTATGGGGGCTAGGGTCAAATGAAGTCCGATCATTTCGAAATTCGGCAAGGTCATCAATGCTTGTATAAAACTTAATTGTGCGAACTTTCATCGAGATATATTTATATTATACATAATTATGAGCTCAAAAGCAATTTTCGGGGTGTTCAGTTGTATGGGAGCTAGGTGAAATAATGGACCGATTTTAACCATTTCCAATACGCTTGGTCCTTGGGTCAACAAAAACGTGTATTCCAAATTTCATGAAATTATCTTCAAAATTGCGACCTGTACTTTGATAACAACGTTTATATGGACACATGGACGGTCGGACGGACGAACATCGTTAAATCGACTCAAAAAGTGATTCTGAGTCCATCGGTATACTTTAAGGTGGGTATAGTACTAATATTTTAATGCGTTACAAACATCAGCACAAACGCGTTATACCCTTCCCACTATAGTGGTGTAGGGTATAAATACTTTAACGCACATAACTGTACGATCATAAAAATAAGAGTACGGCGATGACTTTTGATCTTACGAGGATCGGTCTATAATTGACCCTACTCTTCGTATAAGATTGCCTCCAGAAAATGATTCAACGCTCACTACTGGCTTTTGAATGCAGCGACGAAATTCAACACAAACATGATTTGTATTAAACAAAATCGTTCTACCAAATCTTACGATTGTTTGATTCATAATTGACCCTACCCCCGATACTACCCTTACAAGATCCCCTTCAGAAAATTGCTAACTCTCAGTAATTGCTTAAAAGTACTAGTAGACATATCAAGTTTTTTATATGAGCCAAAATCTCCTTACCAAATTTTATGATGATCGATCCATAAGTGACTCTACTCCTCATTTAAGGTCCCCTTCAGTAAATGACTTTAATGTTCATTTCTTTCTTAAAAATTACAGGATCTGTCAATAATTAATCCTAACGCTGTATAAGGTAACTTAAAGAAAATTATTTAAAGGTCTTTACTGGCTTAAAAATACGACAAAAATAATTTGCATTTAAAAACAAGTTAGAAACTATAGTCGGGCGTGGCCGATCATACGATACTCTACACCAATTACGAATATTAAATGTGATTCATTTTCAATAATAATGCATTTATGTTGAATCTTACATAGGTTCCAAATAGTGTCTGTTCATTTACGCTTGTATGCTGGCTAGGAGAATTATTTTTCAACAGTCTTCGTCATTGGATCCAGAGAAGAGTATGTGACAAATTTAAAAAATTTTATTGAAAATAATTGAATAAGAAAGTGGCAAAAATGGGTCCGAACCTTCTAAAATTTATTGTCGAAATTTATGTTTATATAACTCTTATTTGTGCCAAATTTTATCGTCATACTGGTGTTTGTAAGTGAATTGTGAACATTCAAGAAATTTTTTGAAGGGGACTTTGTATGGGGACAAGGGTCAAATGAGGCCTGATCATTACGAAAATTGACAGTGTTATTTAGGATTATATAAAAGTAAGTTTTGCCAATTTATGTTGAAATACTAGAACATTTAACATAATTATGAGCTCAGAAGCCCTATTTGGGGCTACGGTTGTATGGGGGCTAGGTGAAATAATTGACCGATTCCAACCATTTTCAATAGCGTTCGGTACGATTGGTACACTTTAAGGTGGGTGTAGGATCAATCTTTTTGGTTGTTACAAACATCAGCACAAACGCATAATACCCTCTCCACTATGGTGGTGTAGGGTATAATTAATATTTTTAATTCGGAATAGCACTGTCTATAGTTAAACCCTCATTAATGGACCTCTTTCAAATATTACCCTGATGTTTATATAATATTGGTATATGATAATAAAATATTCATAAATATCATGTTTTTTTTTTTTCATATATAAGTCTAGTTACTCCCCATTACTTACATAAAAAATCGAAATAAGATACGAATACAGCGATAAAATTCGAAACAAATAATTGTTCTATAAATAGATGAGGCTAGGTCCATAAGTAGGTAGGTTACGTGGGTGCTCGCTAGCAAGCGAGTTTACTCGGAGGCCTCGTGGCCCATTGTGATACCCTTAGAATTACCATTCCCTAATAATGAGAGAATGGTTTCCCTCCCTAATTTCGTTGAGTACTTGGTTCATTCGGTCTCCGTGTGCTCCGGTGCTATTAATAAAACCGATCATGTTTATTAATGACACATCTCTGAGACAGTCTAGATCATGGAAAAGAGCTCTACCAAGATAAAGTAGTCCATAAGTTCTCCCGGATTTTAAAGAGTGATTATTTTTTACAAACAAATCTATTTAGTCTACTTTTATCATAATACTCAACATTTGGAACGATAAGAGAGATGATATGGGGGACAGGGTCAATTAAGGGCCGATGCTAAAAACATTTGCTAGAAAAATATGGTTCCTATAAAAGTTTTTTTGTTAAATTCGTATTAGTGTTAAAATTTTTTCTGAAAGAAATCTTAGATAAGAGTAGAGTTACGAACCGATCGTCATGAGCTTTTGTAATACCCTACACTACTATAGGGGGAGGGTATTATGCATTTGCGCTTATGTTTGTAACACCCAAAAATTTGTGCCCTAGACAAACCCTAAAGTATTCCAATCGGCTTGGAATTACTTTATGAGTCGATTAAGCCATGTCCTTCTGTCTGTCTTTCCGTCTGTCTTGTGCGCTAAGTACAGGTCGCAATTTTCAAGATAATTGGAAGAAATTTGGCTCGTACACCTTTTTTGGTCCGAGATCGAAGCCTAATGAAAATGGTTAAAATCGGTGCAAAATAGCAAAAATAGCCCTCATACAACTGAACACCCGGCAAAAGGGCTTTGAACTCATACAAATCTATTCACAAAATTTTATCGGGATAGGTCCATTAAGTCTCTTTTAAGAAAATTGGTTTTTGGTCCATAATTATGAAAAATAAATTACATTTAATATTCATAACTGGTATAGGCTATCATATGGTCGGTCACGACCGACTATACTTTCTTAATTGTTTTAATTTAAAGTGATCACAGATTTTGGCTAATTTCTTCATTGGTATTATATGTGAGGAAATACAATCAATTGTTTACAGATGTTCATTACTTCCTCAATTAAGTTTTGTTAAAAGATCATAGAAAATTTAAGTTATAACAGATTTTTAATTATAGCCTTTTATTAATCACAAAAAAACTAGGATACCCTGGCAATACTTTATAAATAATTAGGTACAACTAATAATTATAATTATTTATTAAGATAACGTACGGAAATATACAAAACAACAATAAATAACAAAACTTATAATAACAATTATATTTATCGTTTAACAATAAAAATGCAAACGTCAAATTAAATAATATTAAACTTAACATCTATTTTGGTATGCTTAACATTATGATCATTTAGAAATTACTTTAAAAGTATTAGGGTACATTTAAAGATTTGTTAAAATTCAAATTCCTAAATGCCTATATTAAGAACTAAAGCACATAGCTCCACGATTTTTCAACCAAGGCAATAGTGCTTCGGCATGTTTGCGATAACGATCATTGGAATACATTAATTTCTTAAATGCTAAACCTGCATCTGAATCGCCAAGAAAATTCTCTAAATTAGCATTATCAGTAGGATCTAAAAGTACAGCACCCATAACACCAGTTACCGTTGAATAACCCCATATACCATATTTATATAACATTGAGTGTATTTCCGTTAAGGAGGGAATACGTTGCGAATATTTTAACAATTTAAGATTTTCCACCAGATTATCATGATAGAATTTGATAAAATAATCAAATTTGTTTATCTTGAGTTCATATTGGGTTGAAGATAACAAAAAATAGAATAGGTCTTGAGCGGGAGAACCATATTTTGCCATTTGAAAATCAATTAAATAGGTTTCTTTGATTTTACCGAAAGCATCGTACTGGAACATAACATTATTTGACCAACAATCACCATGATTTAGAACATTAAATTCCTTTGGATTGTGTTTGGCGGCCTTATAAAATTCATCAATCATTTCAGTGTTGCTAGCATTCTGAAAATGAAATTAAAATAGTTATTAGTAATACGTCATTGGAGTGTAACTAATAGTTACTTACTAGATCTTCTGCATACTCATTATAGTTGCTGTAGTTCTTAGCACAGTCAATAAATATATGGCCCATACCCTCAAACATAGTCTTCATGAGTTCTTTGGTTTCTTCTTGAAAATAACCCTCTAAATATTTCTTCTCGTATGGACCTCTCTTTTCAACCAGAACTGCAGAAGCAGCGTGCCATTGAGCTAATTTTTTCAAAACACACTTTGTATGTTCCATATTCAGACCCTCCAGACGATTGGCATTTTTGAAACCTCGTGGACATAAATTTTCCAATAGAATATATTGTTGTTTGGTGGGTAAGTTATAAGATTTAGCGCCAAAATTTACTTTTACCCCTACATCAGCATAAAGTTTTTCAAATGCGGGCACTATATCATCATACATGCACTTTTCAATATCGAATATATCATGACCTTTCATCATTTCACGTATTTGTTCATTGTCATGATTGACTTTTAGCATAAAGCTTAGAGATTTTGTTGATAAATCTAAAAATAAAATTAATTTATTCTGTAAATATTTATTATATATTTATTGCACAAACGCCCCTACCTTTCAATTCAACTTCTATTTCCACTTTTAACATAACTGTGGCATAATTTTCTCCTGCTGCCGCACCAGGTTTAACTATAAACTCTTTAATATTTTTAAAATTTTCAATATTTTGTTGTAAGATATTTTCAAATAGTTTAGCTTCGATCCATTTTGGTACGGGTCCAGGTGTGCCGTTTGTTTCTCCCGTCATATTTAAGTTTCTTTAATTAAAATTTCAAAATTAAAATGTATGTACTTCTATTCGCTCTCAGAGCTTATTAATGACTGCTATAGCTGTTAGAATAAACGTAAATTTATATGGTGTTTTCTGATATGAAAACGTAAATATTTAGTAGTATTATTTAATTTATCAATTTATTTTGAAATTATTAAACGTTTTTAATAGCATTATTTTTTTGTCAGTCATTGTGTTGTAGCTGATTTAAATTTTTCATTTCATTTCTCTAGATAATACAATAATATTAGTTGTTTAAGTACTAAATATTCTCCTAAAATATACCAGTTTTACAACAAGTGCTTTCAATATATTTCTTTAATTATAATGGCTCTTACATTTAAATATAACAGAATATTTCATATTTATTTTAATTATATTTTATAATAAAAGGCTTAATTGAAAGGGTCTAATATCTTCTTCAGATCAGTAGGAGTTTGTGAAAATTTGTAACAATTAGTAACAACTTTTGGTTATTGAACAGAGCCATTATTATACATCGACATTTATATGAATATCAGAGTGAAGACCTGTTATGGACTGAACGTTTCTGAATTTAAATGAGTAATTAATTTTATAAAACAACAAATTTATTCGAGATTTGTCTAATAATTTATATACCCACCAAAAAAAAAGATGGGCGGTATATTGATTATGTCATTCCGTTTGTAACACATCGAAATATTGGTTATAGACCTACAAAAGTATATATATTCCTGTTCCTTATTAAATTATAAGACGATGTCCGGTAGGAGCTAGACAGGTTGAATAACAGTTTGCAAAAATATTCTGTATTAATAAGATTTAGATGGTATTGAAAATGAACAATATTAGTCAACGTTTTCGGATAGCCCCCACACAAGTGGGCCCCCGAAAAACAGCATTAAGCATAACTATTTTAAAATAATAACAAACAAGTTTCATATGATCCAAAATCTCTCCACGAAATTATATGAGAATCGGTCTACGATGAAATTCGACACACATAAGATTTATGCGAGCCAAAATGTCTCTATAAATTTTTTTTGAGAATCGGCCCATACATAATTGACCCTACCCCCCATATAAGGTCCACTACAGAAAATGACTTTAACGCTATTTACTGGTTAAAAATACGAGTATAGCGATGAAATTTGACATATGTAAGTATGTTTCTTACGAGCCAACACCTCTTTACTGCCTTTTATGAAAATCGGCATAAGTGCCCCTTCAGAAATTTACTTTAACGCTCATTACTGGCTTAAAAATACGAGTAAAGCGATGAAGTTCAAGACAGATAAATTTTATATGAGCCAAAATCTCTCTACCAAATTTAGTGAGGAACAGAAAATTGCTTAAACGATCATTGTAATACAGTTATAAAATTCCTCATAAGAAGCTTTTATACGAACGTTAATCTCGCTACCGAATTTGTATCGGTATCTCACCCTACTCCCCATATAATCCCCTTTCGGAAAATTACTTTAACGTTAATTACTGGCATACAAATACAAGTACAGCGATGATATTCAATGTATACATGTTATATATGAACCAAAATCGGTATACAAAATGTCATGAGGATCGATCAATAATTGACCCTACCGCTCATATAAGGTCCTCTTTAGAAAATTTGATGAGGAGGTTTCAGAAAATTACTAGTACACCGATGAAAATTGACATAAAAAAGTTTATGTTCCTAAATAAATCTTTATTCCGAATTTAATCAGGATTGATCTATAACTGACCCTAGCCCCTATATAAGGTTCCCTTCAGGAAAGGGGTTTGCTTATTAAAATACGTGTAAAAATTTGACTTAAACGAGTTCTATATAAAATAAAATGTATGTACAAAATTTTTGTACGTTCAACATTTCAGCTCTCTAGCTTGTTCCGTTTGAACTCAATCGTTTTTCAACTGACAGACAAACATACGGACATGTCGGGATCGTCTTAGAATCTAATGAGAACCCTGAATAAACATATGTATATACTTTTAGCAGTCTTAGACCAATATTTCGATGCGTTATAAACTAAATGACAAAATACTATACCCCCATCTTTTTTGATTTTGGGTATAAAAATAGTGTATTTTGGTTCACATGGCTTACTTTTCGATTAATCGATGACAAAAATCGATTTCACAAAATAATCGATTAATAACCATAATCGAAGTCGATTTACCAAAGCGTTGTGAAACTAATACAATTATTTTCCTTGGTTAGCCAAATATGATATGGTGAAATATCTTGATCACTTCAAATGTTTATATCTCACTCTTTCAGTACTGTTTATAACTAAATATACTTTATGTTTAATTAATGCGCCTACATAATATTAGTATTTTTATACCAAACATCAAAAAAGATGAGGAGTATATTGATTTTGTCATTCCGTTTGTAACACATCGAAATATTGGTCATAGACCCACAAAAGTATAAATATTCTGTATCCATATTAAATTCTAAGACGATCTAGCCATGTCCGTTCGTCTGTCCGTCTGTCTGTTGAAAACACGATAGAGTCCGAACGGAATGAGCTAGAGGGTTAAAATTTTCCACAAATATTATCCATAAGTATTTGTTTGGTATTGAAAATGGGCCATATCGGTCGACGTTTTTGGATAGCCCCCATACAACTGGACCACCGCAAAACTGCCTTAACGGGCATATATGTTTTAAAAGTGTACCTATAGCGATGAAATTTTATGATTATCGGTCCATAATTGACCTACACCCTATATGAGGTCCCCTTCAGAAAATGACTTTAACACTCATTACTGTCTCAAAAATACGAGTAAAGCGATGAAATTCAACACACATAAGTTATATACGAGTTTAAATCTCTCTACCAAATGTATTGAGAATCGGTCCATAATTGACCCTACCTGCATTCAGAAAATTACTTTAACCATCATTTCTGGCTTAAAAATTCTTGTACAGTAATGGAATTTTATATAAGAAACTTTTATAGGAACTTAAATCTTCAACAAAAATAAATTTCATATGAGCCAAAAACTCCCTACCAAATTTTATGATTATCGGTCCATAATTGACCTACACCCTTCCCCCCTTCAGAAAATTATTTTAACGCTCATTAATCGCTTTAAAATACGAGTAAGTGTCTTACTAGCCAAAACCTCTCTACAAAATTTTATGTGGATCGGTTCATAATTGACTCTACCCCCCATATAAGGTCCCCTTCAGAAAATGACTTTAACACTCATTGCTGGCTAAAAAATACGACTAAAGCGATGAAATTCGACACACATAAGTTTTAAACGAGTTTAAATCTCTCTACCAAATTTATTGAGGATCGGTCCATAATTGACCCTAACCGCATTCAGAAAATTACTTTAACCATCATTTCTGGCTTAAAAATACGTGTACAGTTATGTAATTTTATATAAGAAACTTTTATAGGAACATTAATCTTCCTACCGAATTTCATGCGGAAAGTGTAGGTAATTTACCCTACCCACCCATATATAAGCCTGCCTCCAGAAAATTACTTTAACGCTAATTACTGACATAAAAATGCGAGTACAGTGATGAGTGATGATGATGTTAGGGGAGCATTCCTTTTATGGCATACGGTTTGATGGTGGGTATATGAGATTTGCCACAGCCGAATATAACACTCTCTTGCTGATAATTACAACAATATATACAATTTAATTTGTTTAATTATTTAATCGAATAAAACTATTGTTGATAGAACGTTATATTTATAAATATTAGTTACAGTGAGGAAAATATAATGGGTTTATGTTGGTGTTTGTAACGTTTCACTTAATTAGTCGTATATTCTGGAAGATAAGTTTTATTTGTATGAGTTTTAAGATTTTAATTTTTGGTCTTGACTATACTATATTTTAATTTGATAAATACATAATTATATTAGTAAAATAATTACTTATATGTGAATGAAATAATTTGTCTATAATTTCTATTATAAATAATATTTGTTGAAAAAACTTGATAAATGTTTGTACATATTTGCAGTGCAATCTGATATGAAGACGTCCATCATTGCTTCAAAATTCTGATATTTTAAATGAAAATACAACAATTTTATTTTGAGACACTTTTAAGAGTTTAAAAGATTGCAAGAGATCTTTATTTGCTAAAATTGTTAAATAAGCAAATTGATAATAGCGACGATAAGTCAGAGAGTGTAGTCGGTTAAGCCCGACTATATGATATATATGACCAATATTATTTTCGAAAGTGAGTGTTGTGTTGGAAATTACAAAATTGAATTTTATTTCGATACCGACATTTTATGCAAGATTTTTTCCATTAGTGGGGACATATATAGGACTGAAATGTAGTTATAGATTCATCTTGATAAAATTCGGGTTGTTAAATTTATTAAAATTTAATTATTTTTGTTTTATATGAACCTATGACCAGTTATAAATAATAAATATCTCGTAACTGATTTTTTCGTAATATTTACGAAAATTTCGTATATAATACGATATATTATTTAATCAAACCCTTCTCTAATAGGAATCGAAACAAATAAAAACTACTTAAGTAATATTTAATCTTTTTTATATAGTAATTACTACATAAAAAAAATTAAGTAGTCTCGATTGATAAGAATATGAACGATTTTACATGACAATGAAAATAATGACATTGAACTTAAACTTACAACTATAAAAATGTTTATTTTTTTATGAACTACAACATATCGCACCACGATAATTTAACCAAGGCAATAGTGCTTCCACATGCTTACGATAACGATCATTTGAATACATTAATTTCTTAAAAGTCAAACCAGCATCAGAGTCACCAACGAAATTCTCCAAACTGGCAGTATTTGTGGGATCCAATAGTACGGCTGCCATAACACCAGTTGCCGTCGAATAACCCCAAATACCATATTTGAACAACATTATGTGTATATCCTTTAATGATGGTATCTTTTTGCTGTATTTCAACAATTTAAGATTTTCCATTAGTTGGTCATGATAAAATTTGATAAAATAATCAAATTGTTTTATTTTGATTTCATATTTGGTAGACGATATTAGAAAATAGTATAAATCCTGAGCAGGTGTACCATATTTTGACATTTGGAAATCAATTAAATAGGTTTCCTTAATTTTACCGAAAGCATCGTATTGAAACATAACATTATTGGACCAACAATCACCATGATTTAAAACATTAAATTCATTGGAATCTGGTATAGCCGTTTTATATAACTCATCAACCAGTTTATTGTCCAAAGAGTCCTATGGAATCAAATAAGTATTATTAATATTTGTAATAATTCATATGTTATATAACAAACTATTTACCAGATCAGCCGCATACTCTTCGTAATTGCTATAGTTTTTAGCACAGCTATTGAACACCTTTCCCATTCCCTCAAATACAGTTCTCATAGTTTCTTTGCTTTCCTCATGGAAATAACTTTTTATATATTTATCCTCGAATTGTCCTTTCACTGTAACATATACAGCGGAAGCAGCATGCCATTGAGCCAACTTCTTTAGGACACATTTTGTATGTTCGATATCGAGACCCTCCAAACGATTGGCATTTTTAAAACCACGTGTACACAAATTTTCCAATAGAATATATTGTTCTTTAGTGGGTAAATCATAAGATTTTGCACCAAATTTTACTTCAACACCAATGTCAGCATAAAGTTTTTCAAATTCCGGTACTATTTCATCATACATGCTTTTTTCAGTATCGAATACATCATGACCTTTCAACATTTCTCGTAATTGATCATTTTCATGATTGACTTTTAACATAAAACATAGAGATTTTGTGCTTAAATCTGGAAGGTAATATATAAATTAATCTAAATTACTCAAATAGTTTGATCACTTACCTTTCAGTTGAACTTCAATTTCCACCTTCAACATAACTGTGGCATAATTTTCACCTGCCCCAATACCGGGTTTAACTTTAAATTCTTTTATGCTCCTATAGTTTTCAACATTTTCTTTCAATAATTTCTCAAACAATTGGGCCTCGATCCATTTTGGTATTGCCGCTTTAGTACCATTTGTTTCATCAGCCATTGTATAATGTGTCTCGTTCTATTCACACCTAATGTTTATTAAAGACTACTCGAGTTTTTGAAAACTAATCTTATTATACATTATCTTTTTGACAATGTTTGCCAATAAGTACCTACGTATTACATTTGTATATAAAACACGGTACTAAAGTTATCAACATATTTGGGGAAATATATATATTCGCATGTAGTGTACTGATAAAAAAATGATTATTCGTTAGTTACTTAGTTTAAATTTTCTTTATAGTTATTTAAATGAAGGTAGGTCATAATTATTAACCCATTCTAGCCCGTTGTTTACTCATACGAATATAGGAACAACATTTGGTAAATTCTGAAATAATGGCATTAAAACAATCAGATCCCATGACAATTGAATATTCGCTCGGTATGACTCAAGCCTTATTCGTGCAAATATTGTCAACTGTATCAACTAAAAGTCTTTTTCCAAGGTAAAAACTATTGACCCAGTCAAATTGTTACAATAACAACAAAAAGTAAGATTTTAATAATCGACTATTCCGAATCTTATATTAATCAATTTATGTACATATAACTAAATTATGAACCGATTTCTTTAAAATTTAAAATAAAGAATGTTATTCATTTCTTAAAACAAACTATTTTTTGGCGAAATTTACCTCAATTCTATAATTTTAGAAAATTTATTGACAAACAAGAAAGAATGCTATATCCGGTATACCTGAAAAAGGTCCTATAAAGAAGTTTAATGGAGGCTTGATTCAGTAATGGACCCGGCACTACAAAATAGTACAGAATAGTAAACTAGTGAATAAACCCAGCAAAACGTTTCATTACCATGTAAGGAGTTAAAATGCTAAAATTTGAAATTTACTTTAACATGGTGTTGTCATTGGAGGCAAGTACTTACCACAATCGCTTACAAGTAATTAGAAAAAGTACGTAAAAGATTACTAATGAATTTGAAGGTATTTATATAAATAAGATGTTATAAGACTACTTATATACAATCAGGACGATAAGTAATAGTCATTGGAAAGTATGTTAATAGGTAAGTAGTTACAACTGAAAGTCATTACTGAGTTTTTGCTGGGAAGTTTACCAAAAAGTAATTTTTGATGAATTTTATTTAAATTTTTGAACTGTTTTTCTGCAATATGGGGTCAATTGTGTTCCGAAAATTTTGGTTTATATAAAACTAATTTCTGCTGAATTTCATCGCTTTTTATTGAGCCGCATGAAGTATTTTTTAAAATAGACCTTGTATGGGTCAATTATGAATCGATTGTCATCAAAATTGGTAGAGATTTGTTCTCCTACAAAACTTGTTTATGTTAAATATCATCACTATACTTGTATTAGTTATGAGCGTTAAAGTCACTTCCGAAGGGGACCTTATATGTGGGGAAGGATGAATTATGGACCGATCCTCATAAACTGGTATAGATATTTTAGTTTCTATTTAAATTTGTCATTCAGTGTGTAACACTACGTACATACCCAGTAAAAACTTTCATTACCATGTAAGGGGTTAAAATGCTAAATTCTACTTACACAATAGTATTTTAATTCATTTTTTTAAAACTGTGATGTCATTGGAGGCAAGTACTTATCACAAACGATTACAAGTAATTATAAAAAGTTGTCATTGTAAATCGCATGAAAAAACGTATACAGCTTCTATATCTTCACTGGCAAGATGACTAAGACATTTTTAGACCACTTCTATGTAATCCCGACGATATGTAGTAGCCATTGAAAAGTATGTTGTTAGGTAAGTAATTACAATTGAAAGCTATTACCCAGTTTTTGCTGGGTAGTATGGGTGCTTATGAAACTTTGAGTCGATTTAGATATGTCCGTCCGTCTGTCTGTCTGCCTAAAACATACTCACGTTAAAACTAAATCAATAAAGTTCACCAAAAATATTAATTATTATTATTTGTCATTCCGTGTGCTACACGAAGAACAATGTACATATATATATATCGGGTGCTTATGAAATTTTTTAACGATTTAGATATCTCCTTCTGTCTGTTTAAAATACACTCACGTTAAAACTAAGCATAGGAAATTAACCAAATAATACAAATCATTCTGAAAATAATATTCGAATCAGTCCATAATTGGTCATCGATAATTCACTCTGCGAAATTTTGTTCGGATTGGCCATTAAAGGTCCATAAAGTTATGGACTTGAAAATTTGCTCCAAGATATATAAAGCAATTATTAATTGATTTCTAAATGATAGCACCCTATCACAATTTATTAAATACGTTTCTAAAAATATTTAAATGGGTTTTCATAAAAAAAAAAACAGATTATAAATGAAGGGTATTTAAGATTCGGCATAGCCGAATATATGACTCTAGCTAGTTTAAATTAAAAAATAAATTAAATCACAAATATAAAAGATCAGATCAGCAAAAAACACCACGATTTTTTAGCCAAGGTAATATGGCTTCCGCATGTCTTCGATAACGATCATTCGCGAACATTAACTTTTTAAATGCCAAACCAGCATCTGAATCGCCAACAAAATTTTCTAAATTGGCTGTATTTGTAGGATCTAAAAGTACGGCTCCCATAACACCAGTTAAAGTTGTATAGCCCCAAACGCCATATTTAAACATCATGCCGTGTAATTCCTTTAAAGAAGGAATATTGCTGTTGTATTTCAATAATTTAAGATTTTCTACCAAATTCCTATGATAAAATTGTATAAAATAATCAAATTGTTTTAGCTTGATTTCATATTTGGTCGATGATAACAGGAAATAGAATAAATCTTGAGCAGGTGTACCATATTTTATCATTTGGAAATCAATTAAATAAGTTTCTTCAATTTTACCGGATGCATTATACTGGAACATGACATTGTTGGACCAACAATCACCATGATTTAGAACATTAAATTCATTTGGATGGGGTTTAGCTACTTGGAATAATTCATCCACCATTTGAGTGTTGAATGAGTTCTGAAAATTAGAACAAATTTTATTTAAATAATTTTTTCTTAAAAAAGATACTTACAATATCATCTGCATATTCATTATAATTACTATAATTTTTAGCACAACTAATGAAAATTTGTCCCATTCCCTCAAACATAGTCTTCATTTTCTCTTTGCCTTCTTCATGGAAATAACCTTTTAGAAACTTCTCTTCAAATGTTCCTTTAACTTCTACTAGTTTTGCTGAAGCAGCATGCCATTGTGCTAATTTTTTCAGAACACTTTTTGTATGTTCCATATCAAGACCCTCCAAACGATTAACATTCTTAAAACCACGTGGGCATAAGTTTTCCAATAAGATATACTCTTCTTTAGTGGGTAAACTATAAGATTTAGCACCAAAATTTACATTTACTCCTACATCAGCGTAAAGTTTCTCAAATGCTGGCACCAACTCATCATACATTGTCTTTTCAATATCGAATACATCATGACCTTTCATCATTTCACGTAATTGTTCATTGTCATGATTAACTTTTAGCATAAAACTAATACATTTTGTTGTCAAATCTAAGAAATATGTTAATATTATTAATATAAGTTTTTTTTTTTAATTATTTATTACTAACCTTTTAATTCAACTTCAATTTCCACTTTTAACAAAATTGTAGCATAATTTTCACCTGCTGCTATACCGGGTTTAACAATAAATTCTTTAATACTTTTATAATTTTCAACATTATCTTCTAAAAGTTTCTCAAATAGTTTGGCTTCAATCCAATTTGGTATGGCAACATGTTTGTCATTTGTTTCGCCAGTCATTGTAGACTCTTTACCGTTCAATAATTTGTTTATATCCAAATTATTGTTTACACTCTCACAGTTTCTGAAAGACTGCTGAATTCTTGAAAACTAATATTCGGTTTTATTTTATATATTTGACTATGCTCGCCAATCTTAATTAGTCAGCATATTTGAAGCATTTTTCATTGTGTCATTGTTTCGTATTTTTTTTTTTTTTGGCTTTTCTTTAAAGTTGCTTGCTGATAATAGTTCGAAATATAAATTATCGTCGAAATGAGTTTGAAAAATTAAAATATTGGTCATTTAACTATAACTAGTATGAGTTTTAATCATTAGAAAGCATTATCATTTTACACATTTTCATGTCTAGATTATCTCGGTTATTATCAAGGAAACCGAAAATATGCAAAATTTTTATCGATGCAAAAATTTTTAAATTGGTCTAAAACGTGTGAATATCTTATCCAAGAGTCCATACGAAGCACCAAAAAAACCATGCATTTATGGTTTCCCTGGTAATAAGTTATATAGATAAGAAGAAACACATCTTCGACAAAAATCTCAAACTTAGGTCATTCAAGACCAGAATACCGACATGAGATGATTGGGCTGCGAACATTGTCCTTAGGAATGACGTGATCTCAATCTATATTGATGGCTCAGAAAGGGCACGGGATCGGGAATTTTCTACTATCTCTTCGATTTACCCCCCGGGGCATGTTTCCTTGATGAAAAACCCTCATCTTGGTGTATTGCAATCCTGGGGTAAAGAGGTGTATCAGTACCTCTTGTCTGCCGGGACTATAAACTGGTGATGTCACTTCACTCCTCGGCTAGTCCTCGGCTAGCATTCTCATTTTACACATTTTCATGTGTAGATTATCTCGGTTATTATCAGGGAAACCGAAAATATGCCAAATTTTTATCGATGCAAAAATTTTTAAATTGGTCTAAAACGTGTGAATATCTTATCCAAGAGTACATACGAAGCACCACAAAAACCATGAATTTATGGTTTCCCTGGTAATAAGTTATATAGATAAGAAGAAAAACATCTTCGACAAAAATCTCAAACTTAGACCCATTTTTAATAGGTCATTCAAGACCAGAATACCGACATGAGATGATTGGGCTGTGAACATTGTTCTAAGGGATGACATGATCTCAATCTATATTGATGGCTCAGAAAGGGCACGGGATCGGGAATCTTCTACTGTCTCTTCGACTTACCCCCCGGGGCATGTTTCCTTGATGAAAAACCCTCATTTTGGTGTATTGCAATCCTGGGGTAAAGAGGTGCTATCAGTACCTCTTGTCTGCCGGGACTATAAACTGGTATTATTTGATATGGGGTTTAACCAGAGAACCACATAATCTGGTACTACGGGTGGCCAGTTGTCCGCAGGACTTGTCCTGGCTTGTCAGTTGGTTGAGTTCCTTCGGGTTCCATGTAGTGGCTGCGGTTAAGGGCTAATATATTCTATACATAATGCGTTGGTTAATTCCCTTTTCAAATGACACAGGTCTGTGTACACAGCAGCGTATGCTGGATTCCTAAACCAAATCGGTATTTCTTACCGGTTGTGTAGTTGGGAGCCAGTATATGCTGGGGAATTATCAGGTTAGCGTTCGGTGATTGCCTTTCATTCCGTAGAGAGATCTTTATGATCATGGGAATGGAACAGATGCAAAAATTGGAGAAAAATTGAGAAAGTCTCCATATATTGGAGATTAGTACTGATTTAGTATGCCTTTTTAAGCTTCGGGGAAGTCTCTCGGGCTATTAAATACGTCTCTAGGTGCTGTTGCCAAACCAACAGAAACCATCTCAGTAGTGTGGTTGGGCGACTTTAAGAGGTCCAGGAATGCACTGGGCTGATTCTTTAGATAATGAGAATGTTTTGTAGGGACACTAGCATTCCTCATAACATCAATAGGGTCTTTTCACCTGATGTTGGGTCCGTACCTTCTATCGACTCTATCCAGTGATTGCCTTTTCCTTTGTCGGGGTTAGATTCAGCTTGGATGAAAAAGACCACCGTGAAATAAGGCCACCAGGGCAGGTGTTCACGTAAAGCACTTCGACATTCGTGTCTCTTCGACTCCCCCGGGGGTTGTTACCTTGGTGAAATTTCCACCTTGGTGTTATTGCAATATCCCGGAGAAAAGAGGTGCTACCAATACCTCTAGTCCGCCGGGACTATAAACTGTTGATGATCAAATGAATCCTCGGCCTTTTCTTTTTTAAAAATTGCCACCTGAGTTCTTCATAGAAGGATTCAGGGGCGCATGGTAGACCGTCTCTAGTCTACCCAGTGGATGAAAAGCACCATCATGAAATAAGGCCGTCAAGGCAGGTGTTCATGTATAGCAATCAACATTCGAGTCTCTTCGACTATCTGACACCTGCACAGTCCTACAGATAGAGATATTTGCCATCGATACAGCCGCGAGTAGAATCCGGGTACTAAATCTCGAAAATTTGACTATATTTAGACAGCCTTGCATCAATCAAGGCTCTTAACTTCAATGTTATTAAGTCCAAATGTCTTCTCAATTGTATTCAATCATTGGTACAACTGACACAACATCACGTTCAGTTGATATGGGGAAATGAAATATCTGATGAATACGCAAACAAAGGGTCGTCCCTAGACTTAACTCTGCGCAAAGGGATATTTACACTCCTCTGGTGACCCTATCAAAAATGATAGATGACTGGGCTTTGAGTAAGACTCAGGCGGTCAAATATCACCACTTGTAGAATATCGAGACTGCTCTGACTCATTCTAACGACGGATAGGACTAGGACTATAATTAATGGGCACTGTATGAATGGACATATGTCGGAACGTGATGCCATTAGAGGCCAGTACTTATCATGATCGCTTGCTAATAAGGAGTAGTTTTGTTTTTGAATAAAACAAATATCCGAAATGTCAAGGCTAATAAGTAAGTACTTGCATGTTACTTGTACGTCATTACTACAGTCAGTAAGTAATGCAGACGGTCATTTTAAAGTAAGTTCTTGGGTAAGTACAAATTATTACAATGTCTTCGCTGGGGACATTGTAGAAAGCACTTTGTGGATGATCGCTACATACACATGTATTGCAGTGGAACTAAGACAATGGGCGCATAAGAAATGGTTTTGGTAATATCACTATTGAGTAAACCTAAATATACTTAATTTTATATGTACATTATATATAATTATTCTTTAATACATGATAAATACAAAACATTTATACTTCATTATAAAATATTAAAAACATGTTATTCATTAAAATGCACCACGATTATATAGCCAGGGCAAGACCAATTTCATGTGTTGACGATAACGTGGATTGGAAAGTAATTGTATTTTAAATTGTATACCAGCATCAGTATTGGATACCAAATTGTCAGTGCCAGCAAGCTCTGTTGGATCTAAAAGAGCTCCAGCCATGGTAGTATTTGCAGTAGTATAACCTACAAATTGAATAATAACGTTGAAATTTTATGATCATATATTTAAATAATTTAAAATCCATTATCTTACCCCATAAACCATATTTGTAAAGCATGATGTGAATATCCCTTAAGGCAGGTATTTTCTTGCTATAATTTAGCATTTTTAAATGTTCAACCAATTGTTCATGATAGTATTTGATGAAATAATCAAATTGTTTAATTTTAATTTCATATTTAGCGGAAGATAATAGAAAATAGTATAAATCTTGAGCGGGCGAACCATATTTAGGCATTTGAAAATCAATTAAATATGTTTCCTTGATTTTACCAAAAGCATCATGTTGAAACATAACATTGTTGGACCAACAATCACCATGATTAAGAACATTAAACTCATTGGCATCAACCTTCATGCCCTTGATCATTTCCTCGATTATATTTGTTTGCATATTGCACATGGCTTCGAAATATTCTTCATCACCTTCAAATTTCTTACTAACTTCCATGAATATCGGATACATGCTAGCAAACATGGCCTTCATCATATCACGCATTTCCTCTTTAAATGCACCGTTACTCACAACGCGACTGTAGGGTCCTTTAACAGCTACACGTACAGCTGAGGCCGCATGCCATTGTGCTAATTTCTTGAGCACTGCCTTTGTATGATCCATATCTAAACCTTCCACACGATTTTCATTTTTAAAACCTTTAACTCTTAAATCTTCTAGTAAAATATATGGATTATTTGTAGAAAGTTCATAGAATTTGGCACCAAATGTTAAATCTAGACCAGCTTCTTTATATAGTTGCTCTAATTCTGGCACGACTTCTTTGTACATGGTGGTCTCTATGTCGAAAACATTGTTAAATTGCATCATCATACGGAACATTTCATTATCATGAGCAGTTTTCAATATTAAGGAGACTGATTTGGAAGTGCCATCTGAAAAGATATATACAGAAAAGGAATTAAATAAGAATTGGTTGGAACCCTTTAAAATATGATTTATAAAATGACTTTAATTTTCATAACAAGCATACAGTAGTCGAAGCCCTTTACGTGAACACCTGCCGTGTTGGCCTTATGTCATGTCGGTACTTTTAAAACCATAGGGTGAACTTATTAGACGACTCACCTCCACTCCTTTGTGCTTCTTACACGCCGGTGGCAATTTCTCAGCACTTTTCTCAAGTACTCGAGTTATCTAACCCATCACACTTCACATTCATCCGACACACTTATTGAGAAAAACATCCGACACACTCAGTCTAGGTGTACGGGTGGATGAGGCCCGCAAAGCTCTACATCTATCCCGTATCATATATACTGGACACCAACTCACACACGTTTGGGATTATAAAGCTACCTACCGACTAACTAAGTAACTAACTAACTAACTAATAACTAACTAACTAACTAACTAACTAACTAACTAACTAACTAACTACTACTAACTAACTAACTAACTACTAACTAACTAACTAACTACTAACTAAACTACTAACTAACTAACTAACTAACTAACTACAACTAACTAACTACTAACTAACTAACTACTAACTAACTAACTAACTAACTAACTAACTAACTAACTAACTAACTAACTAACTAACTACTAACTAACTACTAACTAACTAACTACTAACTACTAACTAACTAACTAACTAACTACTAACTAACTAACTAACTAACTAACTAACTAACTAACTAACTAACTAACTAACTAACTAACTAACTAACTAACTAACTAACTAACTAACTACTAACTAACTAACTACTAACTAACTAACTACTAACTAACTAACTAACTAACTAACTAACTAACTAACTAACTAACTAACTAACTAACTAACTAACTAACTAACTAACTAACTAACTAACTAACTAACTAACTAACTAACTAACTAACTAACTAACTAACTAACTAACTACTAACTAACTAACTAACTAACTAACTAACTAACTAACTACTAACTAACTAACTAACTAACTAACTAACTAACTAACTAACTAACTAACTAACTAACTAACTAACTAACTAACTAACTAACTAACTAACTACTAACTAACTAACTAACTAACTAACTAACTAACTAACTAACTAACTAACTAACTAACTAACTAACTAACTAACTAACTAACTAACTAACTAACTAACTAACTAACTAACTAACTAACTAACTAACTAACTAACTAACTAACTAACTAACTAACTACTAACTAACTAACTAACTAACTAACTAACTAACTAACTAACTAACTAACTAACTAACTAACTAACTAACTAACTAACTAACTAACTAACTAACTAACTAACTAACTAACTAACTACTAACTAACTAACTAACTAACTAACTAACTAACTAACTAACTAACTAACTAACTAACTAACTAACTAACTAACTAACTAACTAACTAACTAACTAACTAACTAACTAACTAACTAACTAACTACTAACTAACTAACTAACTAACTAACTAACTAACTAACTAACTAACTAACTAACTAACTAACTAACTAACTAACTAACTAACTAACTAACTAACTAACTAACTAACTAACTAACTAACTAACTAACTAACTAACTACTAACTAACTAACTAACTAACTAACTAACTAACTAACTAACTAACTAACTAACTAACTAACTAACTAACTAACTAACTAACTAACTAACTAACTAACTAACTAACTAACTAACTAACTAACTAACTAACTAACTAACTAACTAAAATGTAGATAATATATTGGCGATATTGAACATTAAGATTAACACGTGATATATGATTTTTATACGAACCATTTTGGATTCTCCGGAGAAATTTATTTTTTAAACAAATAATTTCTATCAGGTTAGCATAATATCGAAATACTTGGACTGAACGTAGTATACAACGATATTATAGGGTTTAGAAGAAATCATGTAACGATATCATGAATTTCCAATAGGTCAAGTTTGGAATATGTACCTAATTTAATCGATTTATTACCTACTTGTATGCGGACTGATGGATGTCTCTAAATCGATTTGATCGATTAGTGTACTTTTAAGTGGAGCCGCCTAATGCCCTATTGGAATGACGTCATTAAAAGAAAATATATATAGTTCAAAAGATATTATTTGCTCACTGCACAAAAATTTTAATATTTTAACATGTACAACAAATACTTAAAATGTTTTCATTAATTACGATTAATTTAAAATGATATTATTTTGATGTAGAAATCTACAAATTAAGTGTGTAAGTACTATAAACAATATGTGTTAATAATTACCATTTAATTCAACAGCAATATCCAAATGTAATACTACAGTATTGTAATTCTCACCAGCCCCCAATGCTTTATCCGCCTTAAATTCCTTAATTTGCTTAAAGCTCGGTATCATATCTTTTAGAGCCGGTTCAAATAATGATGCCTCAACCCATGTTGGAATGGTGGGTGTGGAATCTGCTGTAGCACTTTGTTCAGTAGACATTTATAATAAATTTGAATTGTATGTATATCACAAAATAAATTTAATAATTTTTTGTATTAATAAAATGAATTTTTGTGTACTTAACACAGAGACCGATTGCACAATAATGTTTCTTATTTGGATAATAATTTTTGTTCAATCGATTTTATTTTTAAGAATTCTTCATTAAATGAATTGTTTATGTGAAAGCTTTTTTGTGTGAAATAAATTCCGGTAGATAACCAGAGCACAAAAAGTGATATATTCTCAAAAGTTATGACGTGAGAGAATAAACAAGCGATTCGACAATTATGAAAGTATAGTCCTACATTTATGATACCCTACACAAGTTATGATTTATTATAGTAATACATTTGTGTTGATTTTTACTTTAATTCCAATATATTTAAGTACATTTTCAATTAAAAACTCATCTTATGAAAATAGTTTTATAAGGGGACTAAGATCAAACATAGTCCAATCCTCATACTACTTATATATTCTAGGTATCCACTTGTATATGTGTTTAGTGTAATAATCGAGCGATTTCAAAATTTTTTAATAGGCATCATCCTTCGCTACGACCTATATTACTATGCGTTACAAACATCAGCACATATTAATAATACCCACCACTATAGTACAGAGTGTACTATAGTGGTGAGCGTATTGACTACATTTTGAGCTTAATTTGCACAAATGTATGTACATCATATTGTTCAATAATTCGATGTAGCTCGAATGGACCGATAGCCTCGTTTTTCCAAATATCTATTATGCGAATCGTGAGTGCACTGTAATAAATAAGATCACAAATATTTTTCAAAATTTTTACTAAAATCGTAAAGTTGCGAAAATATACTTATTACTCTTCTCTCATAAAAAAGCATTTGTTTTTCGTTTAAATACGTATTTTTGAGACAATTCATATTCTATGTTCTCAAAACAATATATAAATACATATGTATATCTCTCATTTCAAAACAATCAAAATTCGAGATTATTTTTATAGTAAGTATATCAAAGAGAATGCATCTGATATCTTATCTGTGCTGTTAATTAATTTGTTTGTAGGTGATAAGAATATTTTATGTTATATTGCAAATTTGGTAACATAATGATAAGTCAGTCATACCACCTGCTCCCTTCATGGGGGTTTAATTAATTTAGTAAAGAAATATCTTTATGGACCGATCATCATAACATTTTACAGATAGATTTTGAATAATTTAAAATTTATTTGTGTCGAATTTCATAGCACTTTTTAAGTAAAAAGTTATCGTTAAAGTAATTTTTAAAGGGTACTTTCTATGGGGGTTAGGGCCAAAATGATTTCTGTGCATATAAAACTAACTTTTTCAAAATTTTATCACAATTGCTGCGTCATTAGCATATCTATGACAGTTTCAGCTGTATTCCACTTGTATGGGTGTTATGCGAACATGTGAACCCATATTGCCCACTTGCAATATCAAACAGTGCTTATAAATGAAGAATATTTATGTAAAATTTCATCTCTCGTCTAGATTCTATCATGTCTACAACAGACAGATGGACATGGCTAGATAGTCTTAGAATTTAATTAGGACCCAGAATACATACATATAATTTTATTTCGATAAATACAAAAAAAATAAAAAAAAAACTTTTTTTAAAAGGTGCGACTGAAAAACTTGATCTCAGTACAATATGTTCAAAAAAAATTCTGCAAATTCCGTTATTTTGAGCTTATCGCGGGAAAAATAATTATAATTTTTGTTAATGAATTTCTGTTCTGCAAAACTACTTTTAGTATATTATAAGGAGCATATAAGTTTCCAAAAATTCGGTCATGCGGAATCTTATATACCCACCATCAAATCATCCTTATTAATAAACTTTGATATTATCGAAGCAATTTTCTCATTTATTAGATCTATGTTGAATCATATGTCGATATTAGTATGAACATCAGGGAAGAGGGCCTTTAATAAGAACTTAAGTATGGACCGTGCTCTTCCGAATTAAAACTATTTTTTTTTCCTTTTTGATCCAATATTTATAACCATAAATTGTTTGTATGTAAGATTGGTTATATGGAGGGTAGAATAAATTATGGACCTATCCTCGTCAGTTTATACAATAATTATTTGTATCAAAAGTCGCTGTACTCGTATCTTTAATCCAGTAATGAGGTTTAAAGTAATTTTCTGATGGAAACCGATAATGGATGTTTAATCAGCTATCGACCGAATCTCATCAAATTCAGTTGAAAAATTTCAGTTCCTATAAAACTACCATAATTTGGAAGAACTTTTGAGCCATAGATGATCGTTAAAGTCATTTTCTGGTGTGAATATTATGTAAGGGTCAATTATAGACCGAATTTTATAAACTTTTGTACATACATTATGTTTCGTAAAGAAGTTGCTTATTTGAATTTCATCGCCTTAGTCGTAATTTTAAGCAACTAATAAGAGTTAAAGTAATTTTACTGAAATCTATCCATCTTCATCAAAGTCGATAGGAAGATTTCAGTTCCCATAAAACTTGTTTATGTTGAATTTCATATATCTACTCGTATTTTAATGCCATTAATGAGCGATAAAGGCGCCCTTATACGCAAAATTATTTTAGTTTCTATAATATAGAATTATACTGAGGTCAGGATTTTCAATCGCTGGTAGGGAACTGAGGACCTTTAGAAAAATATAGCACCTAATCTCTTCTCTTTATTATTTAAACGATATTACGAGAGTATATTTGTTTGAGAGAATATATTTGTTGAGACCTGCACTTTTATTAGCATTTGTGAATCAACTCAGAAATTTATTACGAAATAATTAAATCAAAATATTTATCACATTTTAGAATTTCAGATTAAATTTGCCATCTAACAAAGATTTAGAAAACTCCACTATTATACAGCCAAGGCAATAGCATCTCCATATGTTTACGGTAACGAGGATTTGAATACAATTGCATTCTGAATTTCTCAGCCTCAACGGAATCACTTAAATAATTATCCAAATTGGCATTTTCATTTGGATCTAAAAGTACTACTGCCAATACACCAGCACATACATTGTAAGCTATAAGATTAAGGATTATTGACAAAATAAGATAAAAAACTTCTTAATAGTTTATACTTGCATAAAGAACACTTACCCCATGCATTACATTTGTGCAGCATTATATGCAGATCCTTTAATGTGGGTAATTTCTGCGAATATTTCAATAACATCAAATTCTCTATCAAACGATCATGATAATATTTTACAAAATAATCAAATTTTTCAATTTTCAATTCATAACGTGTTGAGGATAATAGCAAATAATATAGATCCTTAGCTGGTGTACCAATATGTGGTATTTGATAGTCTATCAAGTAAGTATCAATCACATTGCCCATGTCATCGTGTTTAAACATGACATTATTCGACCAACAATCTCCATGATTCATAATATTAAATTCCTGTTCATGTATTTTACTTGCCTCAAACATATTATCTACACTAGAATCTTTAAATTGACACAATTGTTCGTAATATAATTCATGTCCTTTATAAGATTTAACGCATTTTTAAAGGACTGTGTTTAAAATATCATATATTTTATTTATCATATCACGATTTCCTTCGTTAAAGAAATTTTTATATAAAACTGGTTTGTATTTTCTTTTCGCTGTAATATATATAGCAGAGGCTGCATGCCACTGGGCCAAGACAGTAAGTACAGCTTGTGTGTGTTCGATATCAAAACCTTCTAAACGGTTGACATTTGCATAACCTTTTGGCTTTAGATCTTCTAGTAGTAAATACGGATGTTCAGTGCTTATTTTATAAGATTTTGGGGCAAATTTAATGTCGACACCAGCATTTTTATATAGTTGTTCAAATTCAGGCAATACCTCTCGGTACATATAGTCTTCGACATTAAATATATTGTCGGTTGTTAGCGTTTCATTATTTACTTCACTTTTGTGGGCTGTTTTTAGCATCAGTGTTATGGATTTGCTGAAGCCATCTGGAAAATATTAATAAATGATGTTTGATGTTTGTAACACCCAAAAATATTAGTCCTTCACCTTAAAGTATTCCAATCGGCTCAGAATCACTTTCTGAGTCTGTCTGTCTGTGTGTCTATGTAAACCTTGTGCAATTTGATGAAATTTGACACATACTTTTCTTTTGACCCACAGACGAATCCTATTGAACATGGTTAAAATCGATCCATTATTTCGCCTAGCCCCTAATCGGGTCCCATACAAAGTCCGCTTCAGAAAATGTTTTGAAAGTTTAAATTCACATATAAATACTGATATCACGATGAAATTCTGCATAAATAACTTTAATGTAGTCGTCAAACCCTCTACCAAAATTTATAATGATAGGCCCATTTTAACCCCCTGCCCCATATAATACCTCTTTTAGAAAATCTCTTTTTTTTTGACAACAAATTGTTGAAATATTTCTTAATTAAGATAAATATCGAATTAACAGATTATCATAACCACTGGTGTAGGGTATCATATGGTTGGCCATGCCCGACTATACATTCTTACTTGTTTAATGGGATACTGTTGCTAATTAAATATTGCCTTATATGGGGACTCGGGCCAGTTATGAACCGATCCACAACAGTGCAACTCTTGGAGGTTCTGTGAGGTCCATTATCAAAAAATTTAATCCTATCGGATAACGATTTTGTAACGATCGATCGATAGAATATCATGGTCAAGCGGAACATTGGAGCATATAATTGTAAAAATCCGTTGCTGCATGGATGACTTTAAACTGGATGTCAAAGCGGGCCTGAGGTTCACTACATAACTGTCAAAATAATCACAAGAGTAGCTTTTAATGAGAAGTCCGTCCAATAACGGAATGCATTAACTGTTTAGAATAAATCAGATGTTCTTTAGATATAATCACATTTCATTACAGAATTAGGAAGCTAAGTTTCTGAACATCGATCGAAAACACCTTAAAACCCTATATGAGGTTTTTCTCACCAACATTTCCAACATGAGGCGCACACAGGCCCGATAGTGGCCCTTGTGTATTTCTTTGGATATGATGTATTATACATCCTTCTCCAAACTTAATCTCATCTAAATGAAATTACTATTTCCAACACCGAATAACAAAGATTTATATTGAAATACTGCCACTTCATTTAAAAGTCCCATTACAATTATAGCGGTAACTCCCCTTTACAATGTGTTTTTTATAAAATTACAGTGAACAACAAAACTATTTACATTTTCTTAATATGTTAATTATATCTTATTTTAAAGTTCTTAAAATTTATATAATTTTTATCCACACGTATGCATATGTACTGTGATCGAAATTCTCAATGGCTGGTATGGAACTGAGGACCCTTTCAAAAATTTTTTTCTTCGTGTTCAGTATATTAATAGGCACCGATTGAGAGGTCTTACTACATGAGATTATTAAAAAGGCAGTTCCTCGGGACACTCTAATACAAACATATTCATTTGTTGTCGATCTGTTCAAACAGTTATTAACTTGTTGATAATGCAGTAATCTTGCAAAATCAGGCCACAACTAAATCAAACATCTTATATCTTTTACTGTACCTAAATACATACCTTTCAATTCAATTTCCGCTGCTAAACGCAGCATTAATGTGGCATAATTTTCACCAGCACTTAGGGCAGGTATCGCCTTAAAATTTTTTATTTGTCTAAAATCACTAACAATTTCCTTAAAAACTGGTTCAAACAATGAAGCTTCAATCCATTATGGTATTGTAGTTGTATTTTGTTTCCTCGACATTATTTTTTAAAATGCAGCAAATATTAATATGATAAAAGTAAATGAAAATTGTGATAAGTATTTTGTTTTAATATTAACTAACAATTGTATCTTAACCACATTCTGTTCGATTTGTAACTGAAATGTTATTGTGGCTTAGTTTGTAAATTTTACAATAAATTTCAAAATATATGTATATAATGATGACATTCATTATTGTAGAACAAAATGTAACTCAATTTTAATAAAAGAAAAAAAAAATCGTTTGTATTTAAAAGCTTTTTCATTGGAAAAATCCCCATTTCTTTAATGTGATTTTAAAATATGATGTATGCATTTAAGTAAATTAAATTATTTTCGAAATTAATTTTTTTTAATTAAGAATAAGTTGTAATATAAAATAATATTTTAGGGGACAATTTATTTAAATTATAGACCAATCTTGTTAAAGTATTAAAGTTTCTGTTAAATTCAACCTTTATTATGTTCTATTTAGCCCTAGTGCTAATATTTATGTGGGGGATTTCATATCAAGTAACCAACTTTTGAAACCTATGTCTTCCGATCGGTATGGAATCGGAAGAAATCATTTTTTCTGTCGATTTTCGACATAATATGTCAAAAAATACAAACTTTATATGTTCAAAAAGGGTTAATTAATACGCTTTTATGTAAGCCCTAAGTATATTTAGTAGTTTAAATACAATTTTTCAACAAGATCGGTCAATAACTCTCTGAGTAACAATGGGTCAAAGTTTGCCTTTTTTTGCAAATCATGTGTTTCTTCTCACTTATGTAACATATTACCTATTTTTCATAGAAAAATTTGTTCCAAATAGTTTAGATAGCTATTTCTTCAATATTACAGAAATATTTTAAGAAACTAAAATCAATTTTTTTTTTTGCAAAATAATTTTTTTTTGGAGTTTTATCCAATTTGTGCCCTTTTCTTGTAAGATCTCTCTTGTTCGAGACCGAAAACCGATCGGAACACATCGGTTTCAAAAGTTTACAAGAAATCCTCCATATATCAAAAAAATCTTATAAGAGGAAATTGTCTAATAGTTCAATCTTTTCTAATATATGATTCGTGGGACTTTGATTGCAGAGTTTACATATATAAACATACAGACTGATATCGTTTACTGGTCACACATAGACATTTCGATAGGGCTAGACGGATTTGAATATCTTTATGACATAAACATTAGGGTTATAACTTTTATAAAATTTTTGGAAATTTCAAATCGGCTCTATCCATTCCACATAGAATGTGGATTTTTCCGAGCGTTAAAAAAGTTTCCGCGGCAAATGCCTTGAAGTTTTCGATATTTACTTCAAACAAAATTTTAAATTTTTCAATACAAAACTGAAAATTTTCGATATAAACTAATGTCGTTGTTCAAGGATGGGGGAGGATAGGGGCTTCCAAAAATGTATATCATTTTAGGACTTAAAAACATCAGAGTAAATATTTAATACCCTCTCCACTATAGTGGTGACATTTTTAGATTTTTATATGTACATATAAGGAATTCCATTTTACTACTACATCAAATCCGAAGAAATACACCTAGGCCACTATCGGGCCTGTTGTGCGCTCCTTATCATGAAAAAAAAAATGAAAGAATTATTTTTCAGTGTTCAGAAACTCAGTTTCCTGAACGTAATTCCTAAGAATCTTCCAATCAGTGTTAGTCAGGAATGTTATTTCCTTAATAGATGGAATATCTAGCAACGTTTCCAGAACCTTGGTTGAAGTAGTACACATGGCACCACTTATACCCAAGCAACATGTACGCTGAACTCCCTGTAGTAGTTTGATATTGCACTTTTTGTCTAAAGCAGTCCACCAGATTATTGAAGCATAAGCTAGAATTGGCCTAATTACACTTTTATAAAGCCAATTTGTCATAGTAGGACTAAGACCACATTTCATGCCTATAGTTTTCATAAATATCTAGGAGGCTATTAATAGTCGTAACCCACAGTAAAGGTGACAAAATGCCACCCTGTGGTATACCGCGAAATACCATTTTCCTGATAGTTATATCGTACATCTCGCAGCTTATCCATCTGTTCTTTAGCATGTGGTTGATCCAGTTACGGAGCACCCGGTCAACACAAAACTGGTCTAGGGATTGGATAAGAGTATCAGTGTGCACGTTATTGAAGGCGCCTTCGATGTCAATGCATACCGCCAGTGTATACAGTTTGCTATCAAAGGATGCACCTATGTAGTGGACAACTTCTTTTAAAGCGTTTTCCGCCGATCGTCCCTTTACATAAGCATGCTGCTTATATTTTAGGTCTTTGTCGGGTATACTGCTTTTCACCATACTATCAACTATCCCTTCCAAGGTTTTAAGTAGGAAGGACGTAAGACTTATCGGTCGATAAGACTAAGGTGTCGAATAGCTAGGTTTCCCTGGTTTAGGTATAAATATTACCCTTGCATCCTGCCATTTAATGGGGGTATATGTGAATTTCAAGCATGCAGTGAATATCTGATACAGATGTACGGAAACCAGTCCCGCTACCTTCTGTAAGAGTGCCGGGAAAATGCCATCCGGCCCTGCAGCTTTATAGGGAGCGAAGCTCTTGTTTGCCCCTTTAACCATATCAAAATATTATAAACAAGTAATGTCAGTTCGCAATCTCGTGGACTTTGCTTTTTACATGTTTACAAAATTTTCTCCAAATTGCTGACTATGGGAAAAATCTTTTAAATTTAAAATGGAATACCTCATATATGAAAAACACATCAATCATTCATTTACTTAGCAAATAGAATTTATCTACATATTTATATACAATAACACACTATAATATACATACATCTATATATATAAAATTCTAACGTTACTGACTGACTGACTGACTGATTCACTGACTGATTCATCATCGCACAGCCTAAACGGTTGAAGCTAAAGAGCTGAAATTTGGACAGGAGGTTGGTCTCCCGCCAAATAGATCTACTAAGACGGGATTTTTGGAAATTCGAATGTTTAGGGGGTAAAAAAGGGTAAATTCGGTAACCTTATATCTCCTAAACTAGAAAAGATACAAAAAAAGTTTAAAGCTTATCGCCGTTCATTTAAAAAATAAACGGACAGGTGTCTGGTACTTTTTTAAAATTCGGCCCCTTTAGGGAATAAACGGGTAAAAACTGTATTTTGGTACTTTTTTCGCACCCCATGTATCTTTTAAACCAGTGCACATTCAAAAAATATTTTTGACTCCTTCATAACTTAACGAAAAAATAAAAATATGAATTTAGTACTTTTTGGATATTCGGACGTTTAAGGGGTTAAAATTGCACCTATTTTTGGTACTTTTTTCATAAAACATTGTTTTTGGTTTATTAACTTATACATATGAATTCATAATAACGGGCTCCCACTACGATGTTGCAACTTTTTGGAATAGAATTTTTATTTCGTTAATGGGGAGGAAAAAAGTACCAAAAGGGGTAAAAACGGGAAATTTGATTTTATTCAACCACAATGATCCAATTTAGATAAAATTTTTAAATTTAGAAACACTAAATATCCTAATGGGGTGTTATTTGGAACCCCGGTACCAAGTGATATTTTTTGGTACTTTTCATTCTCCAACTGGTCCTTTTTGAGTTTTCTATGATATTGAAATAGAAACATGAAATTAATAATAAAGGGACTTTTCGCTACTTTTTCGTTCTACACAGGTACTTTTTTGAGTTTTCTTTAAAATTAAATCTAGAAACATGAAATTAAGCATGTAGAGCTCGGAGTAAATGAGAATCTATAAAATGGGACTTTTTGGTACTTTTTCGTTCTTCAAAAGGTACTTTTTGAATTTTCTATAATATTGAACCTAGGAACATGAAATTAAACATGTAGAGACCGGAGTAAATGAGAATCTATAAAAGGGGACTTTTTGGTAATTTTTTGTCCTTCGACTGGTACTTTTTGAGTTTTCTATAAAATTTAACCTAGAAACATGAAATTAAGCATGTAGAGACCGGAGTAAATGAGAATCTATAAAAGGGGACTTTTTGGTACTTTTTGTCCTTCGACTGGTACTTTTTGAGTTTTCTATAAAATTTAACCTAGAAGCATGAAATTAAGCATGCCGAGGCCTTAGTTAATGAGAATCTATAAAAGGGGTCTTTTTGGTACTTTTTCGTCCTTCGACTGGTACTTTTTGAGTTTTCTATAAAATTTAACCTAGAAACATGAAATTAAGCATGCGGAGGCCTTAGTTAATGAGAATCTATAAAAGGGGACTTTTTGGTACTTTTTCGTCCTTCGACTGGTACTTTTTGAGTTTTCTATAATATTTAACCTAGAAACATAAAATTAAGCATGTAGAGCCCTTATTAAATGAGAATCTATAAAAGGGGACTATTTGGTACTTTTTCGTCTTTCGACTGGTACTTTTTGAGTTTTCTATAAAATTTAACCTAGAAACATGAAATTAAGCATGTAGAGCCTGGAGTAAATGAGAATCTATAAAAGGGGACTTTTTGGTACTTTTTCGTCTTTCGACTGGTACTTTTTGAATTTTCTATAATATTGATCCTAGAAGCATGAAATTAAGCATGTAGAGCCTGGAGTAAATGAGAATCTATAAAAGGGGACTTTTTGGTACTTTTTCGTCTTTCGACTGGTACTTTTTGAGTTTTCTATTAAATTGAACCTCGAAACATGAAAATAAGCATTAAGAGCCCGTAGTAAATGAGAATCTATAAAAGGGGACTTTTTGGTACTTTTTCGTTCTTCAAAAGGTACTTTATGAATTTTCTATAATATTGAAAATAGAAACATGAAAGAGCCTGGATTAAGTGAGAAACTATAAAAGGGGATTTTTTGGTACTTTTTTGTTCTTCAAAAGGTACTTTTTGAATTTTCTATAATATTGATTATAGAAACATGAAATTAAACATGTAGATCCCGAATTAAGTGAGGACCTATAAAAGGGGACTTTTTGGTACTTTTTCGTTCTTCAAAAAGTACTTTTTGAATTTTCTATAATATTGATCCTAAAAGCATGAAATTAAGCATGTAGAGCCTGGAGTAAAAGAGAATCTATAAAAGGGGACTTTTTGGTACTTTTTCGTTCTTCAAAAGGTACTTTTTGAATTTTCTATAATATTGATCCTAGAAGCATGAAATTAAGCATATAGAGCCTGGACTAAATGAGAATCTATAAGAGGGGACTTTTTGGTACTTTTTCGTTCTTCAAAAGGTACTTTTTGAATTTTCTATAATATTGAACCTAGAAACATGAAATTAAGCAAGTACAGCCAAGATTAAGTGATAACCTATAAAAGGGGACTTTTCGGCACTTTTTCGTTCTTCAAAAGGTACTTTTTGAATTTTCTATAACATTGAACCTAGAAACATGAAATTAAGTATGTAGAGCCCGGAGTAAGTGAGAACATATAAAAGAGGACTTTGTGGTAATTTTTCGTTCTTCAAAAGGTACTTTTTGTGTTTTTTATAACATGAAATTAACCATGTAGAGCCCGGAGTTAATGAGAATCTATAAAAGGGGACCCTTTGGTAATTTTTCGTTCTTCAACTGGTACTTTTTTAATTTTCTATAATAGTTGTGTTTTGTTGCTATCAATGAGTGTTAACGCTTAAAGTTAGCAACAAAACGAACATTACCTGACTTGGCATCACTCCACAGAAGAAATCTGCTAAATCTTGAAATTATTTACATTTTCTTAAAAAAGGTTTTTTTATTTGATATATTTTTTTTTTTTTTTGATTTAAATTTTATTTTAAAATATTTTTTTATTGTTTGACATAAACACATTAATATTTGTATTTTTATTTTTGAATTGGTAGCACTTTTATCGACGTTAAAATTAACTTGTATAATTTTACACGTTAACTCCTAACGTTTATAAATTTTAAATTTATATGAAATTGCCTTTGAACGTTAGCAACAAAACACAACTAATATTGAACTTAGGAACATGAAATTAAATAAAAGAGGTCTTTTGTTACTTTTTCGTACTTCATTGGTACTTTTTGAGTTTTCTAAAATATTGAATATATAAACATAAATTTAAATAGGGTACTTTTTGATATTGCAGATATATATACATTTACAATAATATTTATTTTATTCCATTACGATGAGGGTAGCTAAGCACACTGGGTATAGCTAGTATGTATATAAAGAAGTAAGTACAGTCATTAATATTTAGTAAGTATTTCTATATAGCTCCACGATTGTACAGCCAAGGTAAAATCAATTCACTATGTTTACGATAACGAGCATTTGAATACATTTGGATTTTTAATTGTATGCCAGCATCATCCTCACCAATAAAGTTGTCAATATTTGCATTATCATTGGGTTCCAAAAGCACTGCAGCCATAACACCAATTACTGTAGATAAAGCTAAAAGAATTTTTTTAAAATTATACATGATCATACTATATTAACAATAGCTTATAATAATCATTTACCCCATGAATTATGTTTATGTAAACTAATATGTATATCTTTTAAACTGGGCATCTTTTTGGAATAATTCAATAATTTAAGATGTTTTAACAGCTCACTGTGATAGTACTTGATAAAATAATCAAAATGTTTAATTTTCAATTCATATTTTGTAGACGATAATAGGAAATAGTACAAATCCTGAGCTGGAGATCCATAACGTGGTACTTGTAAGTCAACTAAATAGGTTTCTTTTATATTACCAAAGGCATCGTGCCTAAACATGACATTGTTGGACCAACAATCACCATGATTTAAAACATTAAATTCACTTAAATCCACTTTGGCGCCATCATACATTTCATCTGTTCTGCAATTTATTTGTTCACACATACGTTCGTAGTATAATTCGTGTCCGTCAAAGGACTTAATACAATCCAAATGTACTCTATGCATACTTCCAAATATGGTTTTCATCATTTCACGAGTTTCTTCCTTAAAGAAAGCTTCACTGATAATTTTATTATAAGCGCCCTTGCGAGCGACTCGTACCGCTGAAGCTGCATGCCATTGTGCCAGCTTTTTAAGTACAGAATGTGTATGTTCCATGTCTAAACCTTCCAGACGATTGATATTTATAAAACCTTTGGGTTTCAAATCCTCTAAGAGTATGTAAGGTTGATCGATGGAGAGTTCGTAGGATTTGGCACCAAATCTCACCTCCACTCCAATATCTTTATACATTTGTTCTAGTTCTGGTACTATCTCACGGTACATTGTAGCTTCAGCATCAAAGATATTATGACTTTTCATCATTTCAAGAAACATTTCATTGTTATGAGCCGTCTTTAACATTAGAGTAATGGTCTTTGAAGAGCCATCTGAAAGAAAAGCAATAAAAATACGGTGAGAAATCTATAAAGTCAAGATAATCTCAAAGTTTTTAAAACCGACCATATAATACCCTACACCAGTTGTGGGTTATTATGACCTAATTTTGATATGTTTAAGCTATTTATTTATTAAACACTGATTTTGTAAAAGATGTTATATATGGGGGCTAGGGTCAATTATGGACCGATGGTAGTAAAGTTGATTTTTTTGTGTTATTTAATTACGCTGCATTTCATTCAAACCTTTTTTCGTGGGAGACTTGTTTGGAAGCCTAGAGCCAAATGAAGTCCGATCATTACGAATATTTGCAGTATCATTTAGGCTTATAAAAAACCCGAGTTTGTGGATATACTTGTATATTTGAGTCTCAAAATCAAATTTGCGAGTTCGGGTTGCATCGGTGGGGGATAAGCAAAATAATGGACCGTTACCAACTGAATAAGCCAAAATTATCCAGTCAAGAATCGTTCTAAAAGTTCAAATTTCTCACTGTGACCTAGTTCAAAAACATACCCTTTAGTTCAATATCAGCTTCCAATCGCAGCATAATAGTGGCAAAATTTTCACCAGCACTCAATGCACGTTTAACCTTAAAATCCTTTGTTTGATTAAATTGAGGTTCTATTTCTTTGAAAACTGTTTCAAATAATGAAGCCTCAATCCATGATGGTATGCCAACAACATTTGCTGGCGATTTCGGATTATTGACCATAATTGTAGTAACAAAACAATTACAAAAGAATAAATCTAGATTTTAAATATATATAAAAAATTTATGAATTGTTCGAATAATTTGAAGCAAAATAAAACTTAATGTTCACACACTTGACTCAGGTATACAACTGAGTAAAATTACTCTCTATTTAGAATATTCGTTTTGTTTTGCTTTTAAAACTGCGAATTGTGTGATTTGTTCCGTTGTCGAAAACGTTTACAAACGTATTGAAAAAAAGCTTTTTATACCCTACACCACTATAGTGGGAAGATAGTTTATGCTGATGTTTGTTAGTCCTACACCCATTTTAAAGTATACCAATCGACTCAGAATCTGGTCTGACCCTCCATTTGTTCACCTAGCCCTTCTACAAACGTACCCCCAGAATAGGACTTTTGAGCTAATAATTATGTTTTATATAAGTACGTGTAAATGATACTGCCAATCTTCGTTATGATCGGTCCTCATTTAACCCTAGACCCCATACAAAGTCCACTTCAGAAAATGACTAGAAGGTCAATAAATCACTTATAAACAATAGTATCACGATGAAATTCTGCATAAATAACTTTCATGTAAAAGTAAATCACTCAATCAAAATGTATAATGATATGCCACTATTTACCCTTGCCCCCAAATAATCTCTCGTTTTTGGTCACAAATTTTTTAAATATTTCTGAACTAAGGTGAAATACTCATATTAAAAATAGTACACATTTTTAGCATACTCACTGTTGTAGCGTATAATATGGTCGGCAATGCTCAACAATACACTCTTAGTTGTTTTAATTTAAAAGCATAAGTAAATAGATAGTATGAGGGCTTTAGATTAAAATGTACAACTGTGTCTGTTACATATGTATGTATGTACGATAAACGCCAACCGAAATCTTTCGATTTTTTAAAGAACACAATGGGACTGAATCTTCTTTGTAACGTAGGTTAATATTTTTAACACAAAAAATATCTCTGTCTGAACATTACAATTTTCCAATTAAATCAATTATGAAGATAAGCTACTTTCTATTTTGAACAAATGACGAATCTTATATAATTTCTCTTAGAATGTGCGCGTGGATAGGAGGGTTAAACGTTATCGTATTTAGGCAAAAATTCATATCACAGCACTTATGAATCGTATTAATTTATCCAGACACTAAATATTTTAAAAAATAACCAATTAAAATAATTTTGGTTTACCCAGCAAACATTTTTATTATAATACACAGTGGTTTAGAATTTTTTTTTTTATAATTGGGTATCTCTGGAATTATACCCAGTGAAACTTTCATTACCATGTATGTGGTTAAAATGCTAAAATTTACTTACACAATAGCATTTCAAGTCATTATTTGAACACGGTGATGTCATTGGAGGCAAGTACTTACAACAAACGCTTACAAGTAATTAGAAAAAGTAGTCATTGTAAATCGCATGAAAAAACGTATACAGCATCTGTATCTTCTCTGGCAAGATGGCTAATGAATTAGAAAGTATTTATATAACACATTATTAGTAAGACCTTATTAAACTACTTCTATGTAATTCAGACGATATGCAGTAGTCATTGAAAAGTCTGTTGTTAGGTAAGTAATTACAATTGAATGGCATTAGAGTACAATCACATACTATAAATTACATTGTATACATAGGCGAAAGTAATTACACTCATAAATATTTAATAATTCCACTATATAGCTCCACGATTGTATAGCCAAGGTAAAATCAGTTCACTATGTTTACGATAACGAGCATTTGAATACATTTGGATTTTTAATTTCATGCCAGCATCATCTTCACCAATAAAATTATCAATATTTGCATTTTCATTGGGATCTAAAAGTACTGCGGCCATAACACCAATCACAGTAGATAAAGCTATAAGCAAAGGTAAGATAAAAATATTATGAAAACAATACTAACTATATATGTACATATTTGTCGCCATAACTTACCCCATGGATGATGTTTATGTAAACTAATATGAATATCTTTAAGAGTGGGTATCTTTTGGGAGTAATTCAATAACTTAAGATGTTTCAATAGTTCATTGTGATAGTACTTAATGAAATAGTCAAAGTATTTAATTTTCAATTCATATTTTGTAGACGATAGTAGAAAATAGTATAAATCTTGTGCAGGAGTTCCATAACGTGGTATTTGATAATCCACCAAAAAGGTTTCATTAACTTGACCCGAGGCATCATGCTTAAACATAACATTATTGGACCAACAATCACCATGATTTAAAACATTAAATTCATTCAAATCCAATTTGCCGGCATTATATAGTTCATCGGTTCTGCCATTTACTTGTTCACACATACGTTCATAGTATAATTCATGGCCATCATAGGATTTAACACAATCCAAATGAACCTTATACATACTTCCAAACATTGTTTTCGCCATTTCACGAGTTTCTTCTTTGACAAATCCTTCACAAATACTTCTATCATAGGGACCCTTTAAAGCGACACGATGTGCAGAAGCTGCATGCCATTGCGCCAGCTTTTTAAGCACTGAATGAGTATGTTCCATGTCTAAACCTTCCAAACGATTGACATTTTCAAAACCTTTGGGTTTCAAATCCTCTAATAGTATATAAGGTTGATCGGTGGCGAGTAAGTAGGATTTGGCACCAAATCTAACTTCCACACCAACATCTTTATACATTTGTTCTAATTCTGGCACTATATCACGATACATCGTAGCTTCGACATCGAAAATATTATTAGTTTTCATCATTTGTCGAAAGATTTCACTATCATGAGCTGTCTTTAACATTAGAGTAACAGTTCTTGAAGAGCCATCTAAAAAGAAATCCATTAAAAATTATCATCATCAAATTCAAAGATAATTTTCTTCTTCTTATTTAAATACTACTTACCCTTTAATTCAATTTCAGCCTCTATACGCAGCATAATAGTGGCATAATTTTCACCAGCACTCAAAGCTCTTTTAACTTTAAAATCTTTTGTTTGATGAAATTGAGGTTCAATTTCTTTAAAAACCTTTTCGAATAGGGAAACCTTAATCCATGTTGGTATATCGTTACCATTAGCTGTGTTTCCCTGATCATTAACCATATTTGTGCTAATAATATAATTCCAAATAAAATTAATTATTAATTTAAACAATCACAGTAAAAACTGAAAAACTTGATCTAACAGAATCAAAATAGAATTTAATGTTCTCACACTTGATGAACAAATTTAACTAACTAAAATTATTCTCTGTTTAGAATACTTATATAGGTTTTATTTTGTTTTTTACAATAAATTATGGGCGCTTTTAAAACTGAGAACCAATTTGATAAAAAGCTTTTTTTGGGGGGGAGCCACAGAAACATACCTACATATGTAAATAAATAGATAGTTAATATGCTTTACTTAGAATCGATTCGAATCTAAAGATTAGACTAAATAATATATGTTCACATTATTATTTTTCGTAGGTTCCCTTACATTTCTACGATATATTCCAAACCTTTTATTTTAACATTTTGATTGACTTTTTATAGAACCAAGTCTAAAAAATCCATTTATATTAGAAACTAAAAGATCTGTGATCGCTTTGATTTCCTACAAAATACTTTTTTTAAGTCAAAATAACATTTATTTCCTATTTAAAATCGATTTTTTGAGTGAAAACATAAAAGTCCATTTATCTTGGAAACTAGCAGAGATAAAGCCAAAATAAAGATAATCTGTGATCACTTTGATTTCCTACTTAAAATCGATTTTTTGAGAGAAAACATAAAAGTCCATTTATCTTGGAAACAAGCAGAGATAGAGCCAAAATAAAGATAATCTGTGATCACTCTGATTTCCAACCAAAAATCGATTTTTTGAGAGAAAATATAAAAGTCCATTTATCTTGGAAACTAGCAGAGATAGAGCCAAAATAAAGATAATCTGTAATCACTTTGATTTCCTACTTAAAATCGATTTTTTGAGAGAAAACATAAAAGTCCATTTATCTTGGGAAATAGCAGAGATAGGGCCAAAATAAAGATAATCTGTGATCACTTTGATTTCCTACTTGAAATCGATTTTTTGAGTGAAAACATAAAAGTCCATTTATCTTGGAAACTAGCAGAGATAGAGCCAAAATAAAGATAATATGTGATCACTTTGATTTCCTACTTAAAATCGATTTTTAGAGTGAAAACATAAAAGTCCATTTATCTTGGAAACTAGCAGAGATAGAGCCAAAATAAAGATAATCTGTGATCACTTTGGTTTTCTACTTAAAATCGATTTTTCGAGTGAAAAGTCTATTTATCTTTGAAACTATCAGAGATGCAGCCAAAATAAAGATAATTTGTGATCACTCTGATTTCCTATTTAAAATCTATTTTTTGAGTGAAAACATAAAAGTCCATTTATCTTGGAAACTAGCAGAGATAGAGCCAAAATAAGGATATTCTGTGATCACTTTGATTTCCTACTTAAAATCTATTTTTTAATGAAAACATAAAAGTCCATTTATCTTGGAAACTAGCAGAGATAGAGCCAAAATAAAGATAATCTGAGATCACTTTGATTTTTTAACAACAATCGACTTTTTGAGAAAAAACATAAAAGTCCATTTATCTTGGAAACTAGCAGAGATAGAGCTAATATAAAGATAATGTGTGATCACTTTGATTTCTTACTTAAAATCGACTTTTTGAGAGAAAACATAAAAGTCCATTTATCTTGGAAACTAGCCGAGATAGAGCTAGAATAAATATAATCTGTGATCACTTTGATTTCCCACCAAAAATCGATTTTTTGAGAGAAAACATAACAGTTCATTTATCTTGGAAACTAGCAGAGAAAAAGCCAAAATAAGGATAATTTGTGATCACTTTGATTTCGTACTTAAAATCGATTTTGTGAGTGAAAACATAAATGTCCATTTATCTTGGAAACTAGCAGAGATAGATCTAAAATAAAGATAATTTGTGATCACTCTGATTTCCTACTTAAAATCTATCTTTTGAGTGAAAACATAAAAGTCTATTTATCTTGGAAACTAGCAGAGATAGGGCCAAAATAAAGATAATCTGTGATCACTTTGATTTCCCAACAAAAATCGATTTTTTGAGAGAAAACAAAAGATAAATGGACTAAAACAATAGATAAATGGACTATCTTGGAAACTAGCAGATAATCTGTGATCACTTTGATTTAATACTTAAAATCGATTTTTCGAGTGAAAACATAAAAGTCTATTTATCTTGGAAACTAGCAGAGATAGAGCCAAAACAAAGATAATCTGCGATCACGTTGATTTCCTACTTAAAACCGATTTTTTTAATTTAAAAAATAAAAGTCCATTAATTTATTTAAAACTAGCAGAGATATAGCCAAAATTTTTTTATATAAAACTATTTTATTTCTAATTTCATTGCGATGATTGTATATTTAGGCTAATTTTCTAAAGGGGGACTTTCTATGGGAGTCTGTATCACTTAGGCTTGCATAAAATTTTGATTTAACGATTTTTCTAAAGATACTAAAGTATCAAATATCAGACTATATGCTAGACTAAGGGTTCCAAATGTATTTTAATTCGCGAATAGCACATATACAATAACATAGTAATTACATAAGTACATACATATATACAGAAGTAAATACATTCAAAAGTATTTTATGATTCTATATAGCACCACGATTATATAGCCAAGGTAAAATTAGTTCACTATGTTTACGATAACGAGCATTTGAAAACATTTGGATTTTAAATTTGATGCCAGCATCATCGTCACCAAGAAAATTGTCAAAATTTGCATTGTCATTGGGATCTAAAAGGACTGCGGCCATAACACCCACTACAGTTGATAAAGCTATAAGAACATTTAAAAATTATTATTTAAACTAAACAAGTATACAGTAACTTGTTCCGATATTAACTTACCCCATGGATGATGTTTGTGTAAACTAATGTGAATATCAGATAAAGTGGGTAACTTTTTGAAATAATTCAATAATTTAAGATTTTTCAAAAGCTCAGAGTGATAATACCTTATGAAATAATCAAAGTGTTTAATTTTCAATTCATATTTTGTAGACGATAGAAGAAAATAGTATAAATCTTGAGCAGGAGTTCCATAACGAGGTATTTGATAATCAACCAAAAAGGTTTCTTTAATTTTACCAGAGGCATCATGCTTAAACATAACATTATTGGACCAACAATCACCATGATTTAAAACATTAAATTCATTCAAATCCAACTTGGCGGTATCATAGAGTTCATCGGTTCTGCCATCTAGTTGTTCCCGCAAACGTTCATAGTATAATTCATGGCCGTCATAGGACTTTGCGCAATCTAAATGGACTTTAAACAAATTTCTAAACAAAGTTTCTGTTATATCACGTGTTTCTTCTTTGACATATCCTTCACAAATACTTCTATCATAGGGACCCTTTAAAGCGACACGATTTGCAGAAGCTGCATGCCATTGCGCCAGCTTGTTAAGCACTGAATGAGTATGTTCCATGTCTAAACCTTCCAAACGATTAACGTTTTCAAAACCTTTGGGTTTCAAATCCTCTAAAAGTATATAAGGTTGATCGGTGGAGAGTTCATAGGATTTGGCACCAAATCTCACTTCCACCCCAACATCTTTATACATTTGTTCTAATTCTGGCACTATATCACGATACATCGTAGCTTCGACATCAAATATATTATGATTTTTCATCATTTCACGAAACATTTCATTATTATTAGCTGTCTTTAACATTAGGGTGATAGATTTTGAAGAGCCATCTAAAAAAGAATAATAAACAATTGAACTTACTTTCAAGTTAATTCTTTAAAATATCTTTTTAAAAGCTTACCCTTTAATTCAATTTCAGCCTCTACACGTAGCATAATAGTGGCATAATTTTCACCAGCACTTAAAGCTCGTTTAGCTTTAAAATTCTTCGTTTGATGAAATTGAGGTTCTATTTGTTTAAAAACTGGTTCGAATAGGGAAACCTTTATCCATAATGGTATATCGTTTCCATTTACTGGCGATCCCTCATAATTAGCCATATTTATGCTAACAATATAACTGCAAAATTAATTAGTTATTACTTTAAACAATTAAAAAGCTTGATCTAACAATTTAAAGCGAATGTTCTCCCACTAAACGTAAAATTTCAACTGAGTAAAATTATTCTTTATTGTTATTATATAGAATGTTTTGTTCTTTAGCAGGTTAGCAGGGCGCTATTTAACTTAGAATGTACAATTAGTTTCGTTGATGAAAGCTTTTATATAAAAACTTAAAAAAAAGCTTTTAAATTTTGCATACATATGTACGTTTATAAATAAATAGTTTGTAAAATTTAGATTAAACAAAATTTTTTGTTTTAATTTTTTTTATTACACTTACATATGAAATGTTATTGAAATTAAATTTAAATTATTTATTGCAATCTATGAAAACTATATAATGGTCTATAGCTGTGCAAAAACGTCATGTTGGAAACCCGTTTAGAGCAGGAGTTATTAACCAAGTACATGATTTTGTTAAACATATAATTACATTAATATCGGTCAAGTGGTTTATGATTTTAAAAACCAAAGATATCGGTTGTATGTTCGATCTACAATTTAATGCTTTATTGATTAAATAAACTATGACTTGTGATTGGAATGGACCAATCCTTTTTTTGTAGTTTTTAAACCTTTATAAAAAAACAAGTAAGAATTTACAGTCGGGCATGGTCGACTAAATGATAACCAACACCAGTGTTTATGTTAACAATGTTGATTATTTGTTAATAATATTTAATTTCATTTTTACTTTAATTCGGAAATATTTTAAAAATTTGTTGATAAAGAGCAATTTCCAAAAAGAGGTGTTAAATCGGGACAGTGGGTAAATATGGTCTTATCCCTATAAATTTTGGTAAAGGAATTTATGTCTACATTAGTTATTTATGCAGAATATCATCGTGTTATTAGTGTTTATAAGTAAATTTTGACCATCAAGTCATTTACTAAAGGGGACTTTGTATGGGGGATAGGGTTAAATGAGGCCCTATCATTACGAAAATCAGCAGTATCATTAAGACTTATATATTACAAAGTTTGCCGATTTTTGAAGTGATACAAGAACATTTAACATATTTACATATATATATATGCTCAAAAGCCCTATTCGTTGGGTACAAAAGAAGAGTATGTACCAAATTTCATCCAATTATCTTGAAAATTGCGACCTGTAGAGTGCGCACAGATGGACAGACATACAGACGGACAGACAGACAGACAGACAGACAGACAGACAGACGGACGGACAAACAGACAGACAGACAGACAGACAGACAGACGGACGGACTCGACTCAGAAACTGATTCTGAGCCGATTGGTATACTTTGTAACATCCAATATTTTTGGATGTTACAAACATCAGCATAAAGGCATAACCCCATTATAGTGGTGTAGGGTATAATAAAATTAAATAAATGATTTCTGGGTACTTGAGCCAAATTTAGTTACAATTATTGTATACTTAATATGTATACAGATTTCTGCTAAATTTTTTTTTTCGCAAAGATAAATATTTTATATAATTTGAAATTCTCTTTTCATCTCGAATGTATAATTTTCGATTTACGTTATATTATGTTATTGCTTATGATTGCAGATAAAATCAACAAAAAAGTCTTCTTTCTGTTTTTGTCAAAAAGTTAATGAAAAACATGAGCATTAAAGGTAAAAGCTTGATATAAGCTTTTACCATGTACACAAATTATGAAATACTTTATCAAAATCTAACTATATGTTCAAGATAGAGATAGAATATCTATCAACTTTTAAAAAATATCACTCAAAGAAAACGAAGTAATTAAATAAGTACAATCCAAAAAATGACCTTCCCATATAAAGACGCCTAAAAGGAGTATGATTATATACAAAGGTATTTACTGATTTTGTTTAGATCTCCTGAGAGAAAAATATGAGATATGTATGTTCCATTAATGTGCCATCAACCACTGATGAATTATGTATATGGTCGTGAAGTCAGTCATGTGTACGATTTTGACATTTTGTAAATTTTACACATTTTTAAAAAAATTTTGCAAACCTGATGAAAATTGAAGTAAATATACATATGTTGGGGTTTGTTAGGATGATATTTCAATATTAAACTGTTCCCCCATTTTTCTTTTCAATTTTGTGAAAAATCAAGTCTTTTTATACCTTCCACTACCACCAGTGGTGATATATCACCACCTCTACAGAGGTTATATAAGTTCGCCATTCCGTGTCTAACACCAAGAAATATACATCTGAGACCCGAAAAAGTAATATATGTATATTCCTGATAGCAATGTCCGTCTGTCTGCCTAAAATACGCTCACGTTTTGTGTAAACATTATATGTATATGTGTATACATATGTATGTATGTACATATATATATATATGTAAATGACTCTACCAATTTTTTCCGGATCTGTCCATAATTGGTCATATCTGTAATATAAGATCCACTAAGGAAAATCGTATATTTCATTGATAAATAAAGATATCGGAATAAAATTCTGGATAAATAATTTTTTTATATATATAAATCACTCCGAATTTGTTTTCTGAATAGGTAATGATAAAATCGCGAAATATTTTATTTTATAAAATTAAACTTTTTTAAACATGCAATGGTGAAGGGTATATAAGATTCGGCTAAGGCGAATATAGAACTGTTACTTGTTTAAAAGTTTAAGGTCCCTTTAAAGAACGTACGATATATTGATATTTATATTAATATCAATGGATTTGGCCTTCGGTATGTTAGTGGTTAGTGTTCTAGTCTGGAAGACCGGTGGTGGTGGGTTCGATTCCAAACTGAGGCACTGGTCATGCATTTCTTCGGATTTGATGTATGTATACATCCTCCTGTCAAACAAAGTAAGTAACTAACTAACTAACTAACTACCGAACTAACGAGGCCTCCGGGGAGTGGAGGGGGGGTAGGGGAGGGGCGAGGCCCACCGGAGGCAGGGGGAAGGAGCGCACAACAGGCCGAGAGAGGCGAGGGGAGGGCGGCGGAGGGGAGGAGAACAGCCGCCGGGCAAAACGAACGAACGAACGAACGAACGAACGAACGAACGAACGAACGAACGAACGAAGAACGAACGAACGAACGAACGAACGAACGAACGAACGAACGAACGAACGAACGAAACGAAACGAACGAACGAACGAACGAACGAACGAACGAACGAACGAACGAACGAACGAACAACGAACGAACGAACGAACGAACGAACGAACGAACGAACGAACGAAACGAACGAACGAACGAACGAACGAACGAACGAACGAACGAACGAACGAACGAACGAACGAACGAACGAACGAACGAACGAACGAACGAACGAACGAACGAACGAAACGAACGAACGAACGAACGAACGAACGAACGAACGAACGAACGAACGAACGAACGAACGAACGAACGAACGAACAACGAACGAACGAACGAACGAACGAACGAACGAACGAACGAACGAACGAACGAACGAACGAACGAACGAACGAACGAACGAACGAACGAACGAACGAACGAACGAACGACGAACGAACGAACGAACGAACGAACGAACGAACGAACGAACGAACGAACGAACGAACGAACGAACGAACGAACGAACGAACGAAAACGAACGAACGAACGAACGAACGAAAACGAACGAAAACGAACGAACGAACGAACGAACGAACGAACGAACGAACGAACGAACGAACGAACGAACGAAACGAACGAACGAACGAACGAACGAACGAACGAACGAACGAACGAACGAACGAACGAACGAACGAACGAACGAACGAACGAACGAACGAACGAACGAACGAACGAACGAACGAACGAACGAACGAACGAACGAACGAACGAACGAACGAACGAACGAAACGAACGAACGAACGAACGGAACGAACGAAACGAACGAACGAAAAACGAACGAACTGAACGAACGAACGAACGAACGAACGAAGAACGAAGAACGAACGAACGAACGAACGAACAACTAACGATACAACGAACTAACGAAGAAGAAAAAAGAACGAAACGAAACGAACGGACGAATCGAACGAAACGAACGAGAAACGAACGAACGAACGAACGAACGAAAGAAAGTAACGAACGAAGAACGACAACGAACGAACGAACGAAAGAACAAAACGAAAAACGAGAACGAATAGAACTAACTAACTAACTAACTAACTAACTAACTAACTAACTAACTAACTAACTAACTAACTAACTAATCATAACTAACTAACTAACCTAACTAACTAACAACTCACCAATCAACTAACTTACTAATCCACTAACAAACTAATTAACTAATATCAAAATGGAGCTGAGAATCTCTACTTCAATACCAATATTAGAATCAGAAAATAATTCTGAGTCGATCGATATTTCCGTACATTACAAACATTAGCAAAAACGCAAAATACCCTTCTCACTATAATCAATATTCCCTCATCTTATTGGCGGTGTCTATAAAAAGATCACAATTATTAAATTAACAATCTATGTATTAAATACAATGAGTTTTCTTTATTAAATAATAACAATTTCCATAATATTCTATTCAATTAGATTTTTATATTAAAAGTTTAATTGAAAACTGAATTTGAAAAAAATTTACATATTTAGCTATTTTATGAATGAAACTACTCATCTACAAAACCAAAGCTTCCAATAGTTAGAAACAAAATGATTAAGCTATTGCGCTTAATGAGGAAACAAATACATATTTTATTTAAATACTTATCGAATTAGAGAGATGTCCAAATACATATAGTATTTTAAAATATACATATATGTATATAAATTGCATAATATTAAAATTCGACTACTTGAATTGTGTAGAACCTAAAACGTGCAAAAATTATAAATTTTATAATACTAATCAAATTGTGTACACCATGTTTCATAATGGAACCTAGTCACACTAATACCGCTGTATTGAAAATTAATCTGACGTCGATCGATGATCTTAATATCGATATTATAATGCAATTATTAAGATAACTTCTTAAAGAATAGCTCAAATCGTTTCATGATTTCAAATCATTTCACGGCTTCACACAGCCTCCATATAAAGATTATCATGGAATTAAACACAATTGATTGATTTTCTTATATTTGATCATTTTACCTATAATATTTGAGAATATGTTTTTCTATCTTTTGAAGCTTACTTAATAGACTTTAGCTTTATAATGTACAGACTTTATTACTTTACATACATATGCAGGATATGTCTGGTCTCATACAAATTGTAATAATATAACAATTCTTAACTAAACAATTTTCTTATTTACATTTAAATCTAAGGTTCTAAAACACCTCTACAGTTAAACCAAGGTAAAACCACTTGCAAATGCTTAGCAACAAGTTCATTGGAATACATAAATTCTTTAAATTTATCCGCTTCCTGACTATCACCAACTAGATTATCAACTGAAGCTTTATCGGAGGGATCACATAAAACGGCAGGCATGGTAACAATAGCAGAAAATAAACCTATTACCATATAGAAAATAAATGATTAATTTTGAACCCAATAGAACAGAAATACTACTTATACATACCCCATTTACCATGTTTTATAATACTCATGTATATATCCTTTAGTTTTGGTAAAGATTTTTCGTATTTCAAAAGTTTTAAATGATCTATTAAATGATCATAATAGTATTTAATCATATAATCAAATTTATTAATTTTTATAACCAACTGAGCTGATGTTATAATGAAATAAAGCAGATCTTGTGCTGGAGAACCATAACTGGGTACTTGTAAGTCTACGAAATAAGTTTCTTGCAGTTTTCCTTCGTTGTCATATTGAAACATTATATTGTTGGACCAACAATCACCATGATTTAAAACATTAAATTCTTGTTCATCTCTGGCACATTCCATGTAAAATAATTCAGTTAAATTTTCTTTTAAATCTTCCAATTGCTGTAGGTATATGACAAGATTTGGTGACTTTTTTATGGCATTAAGTAAATGTTTTAAAGAACTGTCGAGCATAGTTTTGAACACATCTTTGCCATTTTCTATAAACATACCCTTCGAATATTTGTATTCGTAGGCGCCTTTATTGTTAATTCTTACTGCTGAAGCTGCATGCCACTGAGCCATCTTTTTTAAAACTGCTTTACAGTGATCCATATCTAAACCCTCTTGTCTAGGGGCATTTTTAAAACCTCTCTTTGTTAGATCTTCCAGCAGTATATAATCCTGTTGAGTGGGCAATTTAAAGGCTCTGGCGCCAAATTTCACTTTCAAACCAATATTGGCATACATTTGCTCAAATTCTGGCACAACTTCTTGATACATACCCATTTCGGTGTTGAACATATCCCATTTGGTCATTTCTTTTTGAAAAAATTCACTATCGTGAGCCACTTTTAGCATAAAGCTTTCTTTATGGGTGTCACCATTATTAAGTAAAACATCTATTTCTACTTTTATCATAACTGTAGCGTAATTTTCTCCCGGCACTAAAGCAAGGAAAGCCTTAAAATGGAGTATTTTTTTAAAATCTCCCAAAGTTTCGTGCAAAGCATTTTCAAAGAGATTTGTTTTAATCCATTTCGGTATATTATCTGTATTTGTAGACATAGTAGGTGATAATTTTTATTGATGTGTTCTATTTGAAATTCTATTTACTACTGACATGAAATAAATTGTTTTATTAATACTAGTAATATAAAGCTCTTGAATTCTATTAATTTTGCGTTTTAAATTAGGTAATAACAATATGAGTGCTATTTGTTTGTTTTATAAATAATACTAGCTATACCCAGTGTGCTTTGCTACCCTAAATGCAGTATAAATAAAAACCCACTTAACGATTTTGAAGATTCTAACTGCAATAGTTCTCTGGATTTACAATATGTTACATATTAGAGATGCCAAGCAAATTATTGCAAGTTCGCCAATTTCTATATATCTTTAAAAAATTTGAATAATCTAACAGTTTTCAAGATATGCGAAATTTTGTATTTAATTCATAACCCATTTAACGATTTTGAAGATTCTAACTACAATATCTTTCCAGATTTTCAATATGTTACATATGAGAGCTGCCAAGCAAATTATTGCAAGTTCGCCAATTTCTATATATCTTTAAAAAATTTGAATAATCTAACAGTTTTCAAGATATGCGAAATTTTGTATTTAATTCATATATGTGGTGCCAAGCCCCATTGAAAGTCCGCCCGTTATTCTCTAAATGTTCGGATTAATGTCAAAATTCTTCAAGTAAAATTTGAAGATTCTAGCTCTAATAGTTTCTCAGATATACGAATTTTTCTATTTTATTCATATGGGGGCACCAAGCCCCCCAGATGAAATTCCGCTCTTGTTCCTCTAAAATGTTCAGATGAATATTAAAGTTCTTCGTGCAAAATTTTAAGATTCTAACTTTAATAGTTTCCAAAATAAAAGATTTTTTGTATTTAATTTATATGGGAGGTGCCACGCCCCCTAATGCTAGTCCGCCCACTTTTTGTCCTCGCCCACTTGAAATTTCAAAATAAAAAGTAGCTGTGAAAAATTCAAGAAAATCGGATCAGCCGTTTAGTAGTCTGTAACGTTCAAACATACAAACAAACACACATTCATTTTTATATATATATAGATAGATAGATAATAGTTTTTGATACCCAACAAAAGTTTTGCACTAAATTATCTTCCTAAATAGTTTATTTGATAACGAACAGTCATTACCCTCTCTATCACTTTTAAATCTATGTATTATACTATTAAACATGAAAAGAGCTATTTTGACAAAAATTTGGATTCAAATAAATTTTCTAATCGGTGATATTTTTGGAATTGTTCGACTGCGTACTTCCTAATTATCAAAATTCCTTTTTTGATAAATCTTTTTTAATAAAATCACATGATATAACAAAATAAATACAAACATACATATGTATATTTTGAAAAGGATAATGTACTCCTTTTTGTGAGTCGTTGGTTTATTTTGTAGAATTATTTTTTGCTGGGATACTGAAACATTGTAATCTCTACTAATATAACATTTGTTTTTGTAAATTTCCGTTAATAATGTAAATTTATTTTTTTACATTTGTTTAAAAAATTGTAAAAAGTTCTAATATTTACAGTTGATAGTAATATATAGAAGAAATTGAACGGGTACATTCTTATCTAAAAACGCTAAATTTCAAATAATTTAAAAATATATTTTGCTAATTTGCAGTTTGTAAATAAGCATAGCTGTGAAAAAAAAACCTATTAAAAGCAACAACAGACAGTTATAGATAGATTTTAGACAAATTTATAGACCCGAAAAGAACACACACACATTAGTGTTGTTGTTATTAGACTCCCTTTACCCAATACTATTACTCTAAATCTCTAGAAATATTTTAGATTTTATTATTAGACTTTTATAAATATAAAGTTAATTTAAACAAGTTCGAGTTCTATATTCGGTTCCGAATCTTATATACCCTTCGCCACGATGTGTTAAAAAAAACAGTCAGAACGAATTTTATTACAAAAAATCTAAAAATACGAGTTGTAAAAGAAAAATTACTAGAATGTCCCCTTTTATATGGTCTCACTTACTCCGGGCTCTATATGCTTAATTTCATGTTTCTATGTACAATATTATAGAAAATTCAAAAAGTACCTTTTGAAGAACAAAAAAGTACCAAAAAGTCCCATTTTAAAGGTTCTAATTTACTCCGGACTCTACATACTTAATTACATGTTTCTAGGTTCAATATTATTTTGAAGAATGAAAAAGTACCAAAAAGTCCCCTTTTCTCCGAGTTTTCTGAGTTCTCCGGAGTCCACATACTTAATTACATGTTTCTAGGTTCAATATTATAAAAAATTCAAATAGTACCTTTTGAAGAACGAAAAATTACCAAAAAGTCCCATTTTATAGGTTCTCATACGGGCTCTACATTCGGATCTCCCAGATATCAAAACTGGTTTCAACATACACACAGACAGACAGATAGACGGGCAGAAAAACATGGTTAAATCGACTCTACTATCTGTAAGGATCCGGAATATATTTACTTATAGGGCCGTAAAATTATTTTATAGAAATTACAAATGAAATGACACGAAGGTGAAGGGTATAAAAATCATATTGTCGTGAACATTATTTTTTGTTATAAAACGATTATAGTAGAACCGCTTTTTAAAGGAACCGTTTCTAGTGGAATCTGTTGCCGAATTGATAAAGTGAGAGCCTGTGTTTAAATTTATATGGGAGATGCAAATGCTCCAAATGTCTCATTTGAGATTTCTTGTATTTAATTCATATGGGAGGTACCATATCCCCTACAAAACGTACAACATATGAATATTCTAGTTCCTATATTTTCCCAGATGTAAAAATTTAATTCATATGGGTGGTACCATGCCCCTATTGCTAGTCGGGTTATTTTTCCGCAATTTGTTCACATGGTTTTCAGTGTTGCTCGTGCAAAATTTTAGGATTCTAGCTATAATAGTGTGCCCGATATACGATTTTTTATTATTTTTGGGAGGGACCATGCCCCCGCGCATTCTAGCTCCGATAGTTTCCCTGATATACGAATTTTTGTATTTAATTCATATGGTCAGTACCACGCCCACTTTTTATAGTCCGCCCGTATTTGTCTTAAATATTCATATTGATGTAAAAGTGGCTCCGACAAAATTTGGACACTCCAAATTTAAGATATAAGAATTATAGTATTATGGGGGATGACGCGCACACTATTTTTTATCCGCCCATTTCTGCACAAAATGTTCATATTGACACTAAAGTTTATCTTACAAAATTTGGGAACTGTAGCTGTTATAGTTTTCCAAATTTACGTCATTTGGTATTGGCAATATAGGCGTGGGATGTGCCACACCCACTATTTCTAGTTCTCCCACAAGTTCTAGCACACCCACTAGTACATATGTACATACAAACAAACCCACATTAAAATTATATATATAGATATGACGGACATTGGATCTTAAGATACCCTACGTCCATTTAGAAAATTACTTTAATGCTCATATTCATTGGAACCTCCCATATGAATTAAATATAGAAATTCGTGTATCTGAGAAACTAATAAAGCTAAAATCCCTAAATTTTGCACAAACACTCTGACATCAATGTGAACATAGCATGAATTTAATACTAAAATTGGCGTCATGAAATAACTCCCCACGAAATAACTCCCCAAAACAAAAATGAAATAACTTCCTAAAAATTTGTTCAGAAGCAAAAACAACGAAATTTGGGGATTTAATTCGTTTTTTGGGGTATTATTTCACATTTAAAATGAGGAGTTATTTCATTATGAAATAATTCCTCAAAATTCAAAAATGAAATAAATCCCTAAAAATATTTTTGGGGAGTTATTTCATTACCTTACTTTTATCACACGAAATAAAAAATATATGTCTGATAACCGGCCTTCGGCGGCGCAAAGGTTTTATCCTTTGGGTACACTGGACAACGCCTTCGCTAAGAATACACCCTCCTTGTATCAAGAGTGTTCGGCTTTACGCCGGCTATTTCGGAAATCTTTACTAAGCGAAGCCGGTGTTGGTCATATTATAGAGTGGTAAATCATTGCGTCCGACCGTAGGCCGGCTATTTAGGAAATATTTACTAAGCGAAGCCGTTGTTGGACATACCATAGAGTAAAAAGTCCATGCGCCCGGCCGCAGGCCGTCTATTTAGGAAATCTTTATTAAGCGATTAAACTGAAATGCATTAAACTTTGAAGCCCCACTCGAAAGTATGAGCGACCTACTTTTTTTAGAAATGTCACTAAAACCGACTTGTTCCATAATTTGTTATTTTTAAATGGGAACTTATTTCATTTTAAAATTAGGGATTTGTTTCATATGATATAAATCCCCAAAAATGGGGTGTTATTTCATTTTAATTTAGGAAGTTATTTCATTTCGTTGGGGCTTTTTTTCATTTTTAAATTGGGGAATTATTTCATAATGAAATAAGTTCCCAAATTTGAGGACTTATTTCATTTTTGTTTTGGGGAGTTATTTCATGACGCCACTAAAATTCGTATTTATGGAAATCTATTAGAGAATTTTCCAAATTTGCATGAAGAACTCTGACATTTATGTGAACCTTCGGACAAAATGGGGGACTTTTATTGAAGGTCCCCCATTTTGCATATGAGGGCTTGCACCTCTAATATGAATTAATCGGGATAAGTGAATTTTGGGGGATAGGGTCAAATGAGGCCCGATCATTACGAAAATCAGCAGTATCATTAAGACTTATATAAAACTACGTTTCTATTTTTGGAGTGATACAAAAACATTTAACATATTTATGAGCTCAAAAACCCTATTCGGGCGGTACGGTTGTATGGGGGCTATACGAAATTATTTCAACCATTTTCAATAGGATTCGTCCTTGGGTCAAAAGAAGAGTATGTGTCAAAATTTAATCTAATTATATTGAAAATTGCGTAAAGTGCGCACAAGGTTTACATGGACACACAGACGGACATAGCTCAGAAAGTGATTCTGAGCCGATTGGTATACTTTAAGATGGATGTAGGACCAATATTTTTGGGTGTTACAAACATCAGCACAAACGCATAATACCCTCCACACTATAGTGGTGTAGGGTATAAAAACAGCTTATAAGTGCAGAGTATTAAA